TAATTTGTTATGCACACTTACACTCTAAGGTACAAAGTCATCAACAAGTTTTCGTAATCTCTAAGATGTAATGGAAATTGTCATTTTTTTAATAGTCAGAAGAATAAATTGCATTGTTTATGAGTATATTATTGACCCCCTGATCCGAAACAAAAATAATTATTAAATAATTGACATATCTCTCTGTCAATATTTTGTTGCTTTTTTGCAGCTGCCGATTTCAATAATTATACAAGGACTGTGATTTTCCCTCAAAGTTATGTTCTCATGGAAAAGAAATTCTAGAAAACTTACCACAGGACATGCACATTTTTAGAAATACTTCAGAACAAGAAATGTCCATCATTTTTCACAATGGAGTTTGAGCACATCATTGACCTTCCAAAACACAAACGAAGATTTTATTTATCATTCTGTCTTTTAATGTTGTATTCTAGCAGCTGCTGTCTTTCTTTTACATTACTTGCAAGGACTGTGCTTTTCCTCGACTAGCAAAGTGTTCACATGACATATGTACTTTTTTCACAATCTATATAGACAGAAGGAAAATGATGCAAACATTCTGTCACATATAGCTAGAGTACATCATTGACCTTTAAAAATAACAAGTGAAAAATATATTTCCTTTCTGTCTTTTTGTCGCTGTCGCATTATATCAGCTACTGATTAGGTTTACAAGGACTATGATTTTCCCTGCCAATTTGTTTGCTGATGGACAAACGTTCTTGGAAAGTTGCCACAGGACATGTACCTCATTTAGAAATACATGTAGTTACATTCAACAAAAGAAGTGTACATCATTTATTTACAATGGATTTTGAGTACATCGTTGACCTCCCAAAGCACAGGTGGATAATTTACTCATCTCTCAACCGTTTTCTTTCATGCTCGCATCTGCTTGCTTGTTTAACATGAATTGCAAGTACTTTGCTTGTCACTACACTTTCCTTACTTAAAATGGAACTAGCACACTTGCAGGACATGTACTCTTTTAGATTTTGAAAGCCAGAAGAAAATTATGTCCATTTTCTGTCAAATAGCTGGAGTAGATCATTGACCTCCCCAATAACAAGTAGAGTATTTTTCTTCTCACCTTGTAGTATTCTCGCAGCTGCCAGCTTGATTTGAAAGAAATGTAATGTTTCTGTTCCCTAAACTAGTTGTAAAATTTCTATTTTCTTGTCATATTACCTTGTGAAAGTGCTTTCACCTAAGTAAATTACATCGTTGACCTCCAATGATAAAACAAACTACCACACCCTCCTGTTTCTCTCTGTCATGTCATCATAGAAAAGGAAAGACTCTAAAGAACATCTTCAAATATCACGTGACTCAAATAGTACCCGTGGAAACTCGCAATTGCCATTAATTTTATTTTTGAAGTTTATAGAAAGACTGATGATTTTCGTAAAGGAAGAAGCATATTTATGTCCTTAAAAATGATTTAGCGATGTTTGAGATCCAGGAGGGCGTTAAGTTTATATCAAACGGCATAATTAACGACCTTCTAGTTCCAAAGAGAGACCCACTTCCTTCTAAAACATAAGTGTTTGAAAGAACGAATTTGCCTCCGTAGAAGACTTATGTAGTATCAATTTCCTTTCTGCTGTTTACAACCATTACTATTGTTTATATGAATATGGTTGAAAAAAGTTGGAAAAAACATGTAAAAATATCTGTTAGAATTTAGTCTGTGGCTTTGCTCATTGCAAAGATAGAAGAAACAAAACGGAAATACAAAAACGCACCTCTTTGCATGTGAAGGCTTATATACATAACTAACATCCATCCCCATGCCGAATTTTGACAGTGAGATTGATTCCGTTTTTTTAATGTTCGGCATAATGTTGTGTACTGTTTCGTAGACTGCTGAATATTTATCCAGGGAAGAAAATACTTCTCAGAAAAAAAGGGAAAAAACACAAACACTGAGAAAAGATGTCATAATTATAGGCCTAACTGTTGAACGTGTCGTTGCTTATTTAAATGACTGGACTCATGATGTTTACGGAACTTCATAATAAGTCTTGTCAATTCTTTAAATAGTCAGGCCCTGGGATTCTTCGCGTCTCACATCTTGTTTTCCTTTTAATAAGAAGAACAGGAGAAAGTGTCACTATTTGTCACACGTACAATGCTTTGCATGCCATGCGGTGAGTCATCCTTAACAAGAATTTTCTTTGACCTTTCTCATACAGTTTTGTCTTTTCTTTCTTTCTCGAGATATAGAAAAGAAAAGGATAAGAAGGAGGTGAAAGAGACAATTGACACGCATTATCTCACGGTATACCAACTGACAATATTACGTTGAATTGAGTGAATATACTACCAGCGGAGAAAGGATACTCCATCGGTTTGAGTGGGATTTGTCCCCCGCATCGCCGGGGCAGGGGATGCGACTTAACGGGTACTCGAGTGGCTATTTGACGTGTCAATCAAACGCTTATTGTTTTTTGTCTTTTGGAATAAAAGAAACTTTTGCATACTTCCCCCCCCCCCCCTAACATGGACATCACTTCTCTCTCTCACTCTCTCTCTCTCTCTCTCTCTCTCTCTCTCTCTTTCCATTATGTCTGTCGTTCATTTTCATAACTTTATTTCTATTAAATAAAAAAGACTGTTTTCAGTTATGAGCGCTCTCTTGTTCTTTTCCGTTCCGCTAAATCTGTTTTCTATACTATATCCTGCCCCGCCCTTCTCCCTCAGCCCCTATCTCTCCCCCTCTTTCAGAGCAGATGGTTTTTGCAAATCATAATTTTTCGTATAGAATAGAAGAGATAAATAACATACGCGTAGGCTTATATAATTAATTTTGCAACAGTGTACGTACACTTCTCAAACATTACTTTATTTTATTACATAAAAAGAACGTGTTTTTGGATTACAATATATACTTCCCACCCCTCCCACATACCTCTCTCTCTCTCTCTCTTTCTCTCTCTCCTCTCTCTCTCTCTCTCTCTCTCTCTCTCTCTCTCTCTCTCTCTCTCCCTCATCGTACAGAGACGGTGTACCATTCTGATAACAAATATTCTTAGCAATCTTTCTAGCGAACAGAAAGGAAAAAACGGGAACGTAACATACGACCCTATATACCAGCATTGATTGGAAAATACATATTTGAACACAGGACGACAAATTGACTAATATTAACTTTTCATTCACAGAGCGGAAAATGTGTTTCTCTTCTTGTTTTACCATGTTGAGTATACAAATGCCTTTATTTGATTTATTGGTTCTGCTCTATTTAAAGCATATACTCTGGAAATCATTTGTAATGAGGACCTACACCTTGTTAAAATTCATAATGAAAGAGAAGAAAAAATAAGAAGTTTGCAAACATTCTCATTGTGAATACCTCCATCCTATTTCTTCTCAAATCGTACCAGATGTAATTATACTTGTATTTCCTAAGATGTCAAACCATTTCAATGTTATACTCATTAAGTATATTACAATAGTTTTATTACATATGCATAGACAGATCGTCTATAACTCAATGAACAATTCAACAATTAACGTTGTTGAATTATATTTATGTTAAATTATTTTCGTTCAATGTACTTACCTTGTTAGGCGCCTTGAGCATCTCTTGAGGTGGATATGTGCGCATTATAAATGTTGTTATTATTATTATTATTATTTAAAAAGCATGAAGTAAAGAAAGGCATGGGGATTTCAGATCTTTCATTTGAAAAATGAGGTATAATGTATAAGCCTACCGAACTCTTCAGTGATATTTAAATTAGCGTTTTAAAGTAAGCAATATATGATTTGAAACTAACAAGACTAAAGAAGTCTGTTGGTTATCATACTAAGTCTTTAATTTTCCTTCCACTATTTTTTAAATGAAGAGCTTTAAATCTCTCTGTACCTTTAAAGGTATATATCTCTCTTTTTATTCTCTTCAAGCATCGTTCTTTGTGCTCGCGTTAATGAGGTTCAGCATTCTCCGCTCGTTAACTCCTACCTCGCAATCAATACGCCTTAAAATCGGTATCGTGAAGGGGTTTCTCACCCCTCCTCCTAACCATCGCCATCTGTGGTCCCTAAACAACGGTAGGAGTCAAAATAAAAGAAAGAATACTGCATTTGAACGTGCTCTCCGTGCTTGCCTTGTTGACTTTAGGTTCAATCGATCGACTTTTCGCTAAAGGGATAAATAGATATCGATCACACAAGCAGTGGTAGGCGTCAAAATCGATCGTGCCGTACAAATGCTACCATTGCGAATGTTATTGATCTGTGTAAGAGGAAGGAAAGAGGGAGGGGTGGGGGTAGAACTCGAGTTTCATATCGACCTACCGCGCGTTAAAACTCGGACTTGATGGGCAGTAAAAGTCGTTTGATGAATGGTTATAATCTTATTGTTTGGTGGATGGCATTGTTGTTCTATGTTGGTTGAATGGTTTGTTTTACCTGACTGCTAAAAAAGCATGCGTATGCTTGTAAGTAAGCAACTGCAGGACCGACGGCTTTAAGTCCTCTCCGAGGGACTTGGTAATGAGAGTTAATGCCTAGTTACCAAAGTGCACTAGTGCATCGACTTGGCTTCGAACCCAGCCCTCCCGGTAAGAGACCACTGCTCTTCCACTGAGCCATCACGCCTCCACCACGCCTTCGTATGTTATTTGGGTTATGCCCGGTACAACATAAGGCGTTGTTTTGATGACGTTTTTACTTGCGTTAATCAAGCCTGTGATATATATATATATATATATATATATATATATATATATATATATATATATGTAGTTAGCTCATACGCCATTTACTGAAAGTATTGTGTGCATGCTACCCCCTTTTAGACAATGTCACTTTCACAATGGCGCATCAAAGACCAGTCACCAGTCAGTGACGCAGTCTTGCGTCAGACATTGAACGCCTCGTGCGCTTATAAGACACGGTTAACATGCTTATTTGTCACTAATGTTTTCACATATGCATCGCATTTAATTCATATCTCTTTCTTTTTCAATCTTTTCCCTTACAATAACCAGGTCGAATCTTAGACATCCCCTGCAAAGTTTGCGGAGACCGGAGTTCGGGCAAGCATTATGGCGTCTACGCTTGCGACGGGTGCAGCGGGTTCTTCAAGCGCAGCATTCGACGGAACCGTACGTACGTGTGTAAGAACCGAAGCGGTGGAGGCCCGTGCCCGGTGGATAAGACGCATCGTAACCAATGTCGGGCTTGTCGACTCAAGAAATGCCTGCAGGTTGATATGAATAAGGATGGTAAGTTTGGACGGAAAATAATTTGTATTAATGTGAGATATGTCAAATTATATGATTGTTATTGGTAAAAGGTGATGTTTTTGGTCACGGTGACGAAAGCGAAAGCAGCGGCGCTAATCTTGTTAATGATATTGATGATGACGATTATGATTATGATTTATGAAGAAAGTGATGATGATGTCAGTTTTAATATTGTTGTCTTATATTGTCGCTGCTGCTGCTGATGATAGTGGAGGTGATGGTGATGATGATGATTGAGGAGGTGATGGGGATGACGGTGATGATGATGACGGCTGTGGTGGTGAAAACAAATAATGCCGATTCATCGGTGTGGCAATAAATATATTAGTAAAGTATAGGTAGGGGAGGGGTGAGAGCTTGTCAAATGAAAATAAACAAAAAAATCTAACCATCCATAATCTCGATGTAATTCTGAAGATGAAATCATATCGTAGCAGAGGGTACCCCCCTCCTCCCCCCCCCCCCCCCCCCTGCTCGAAATGGAAAACTTTTTTCAGTGTCCGGGCAACAAAAAGAATGCTTTTTCCAATATAAATTCATTTCCATCGTACCTTGTGATATTTCTCACGTAGTTTACTAACAGAGCACATGTATGTTTTCTACCGGAAGGCAAAGACTAACAGCATTCATTTGGTGCCGGAATAAAGAAAGAAAGAAAGGGGTGTAAGAAGAGAAAGGAACTGCATTGAACAGAGAGGGAAATGATTTGATTGGTTTCATCATGGATTTTACTGCTAGTAAAATCCATTCTTTCATTTAACATTCACTGACAAATTAGGTTCACGACTTTTTCTCACTTCCTGTTTCTCTCTCTCTCTCTCTCTCTCTCTCTCTCCCTCTCTCTCTCTCTCTCTCTCTCTCTCTCTCTCTCTCTCTCTCTCTCTCTCTCTCTCTCTTCTCTTTTCAAATAATGCAATTAAAATCCAAACATTTAGAGCGTCAAATTGGCACATTACCCCAACACGTATCCATGAATTAAAAGTCGCCTGATTTCAATAGGCCAAACGAACAAACATGCTCACGACAATGGAGGAGTGATGTGAGAATCAAGCGGGAAAGGTGACATACTGGGCTTCTTCACATATATATATATATTTATGAGAGAGAGAGAGAGAGAGAGAGAGAGAGAGATAAAGAGAGAGAGAGAGAGTGAGAGAGAGAGAGAGAGAGATAGAGAGATAGAAAGAGTGAGGAAAAGAAGAAAAAAATGAAGCGCTTGTAGAAGGGCAAAAGTATGTTAAACACAGGAAATCTAAATACAGTGAATTGGTAGTCCGCGCTTCATTATCACACCTTCAAAGAGTGGTTCTCTTCTTATACTCATGATTTCTGTTCAAAAGTTTTGAGATGATACGTTCACACGCTTACTTAGAATATATCAAAGGTACGTGTGAACTCGCCTTCCAAAGCACTTTAATCATAGTGTATGATGAAACATATACATGTACATTTCTTTCATATCGCCCCCTTCGTTTTATCATACAATGCGTGAAACCATTTTGCTTTAAGTGATTTTAGCTTCAGAGACCGTTCTCGCTATTTACAGTTTGTCCAATATTCTGGTTATGTTTATAATTTTATCTTGGTGTAAGTGTAGAAAGCGGGGAGGATAAGAAATAGTATTGATATCCTATAAAGTAGTAATGTGCAGGGCTCCCACTTAGCCGAGTTGGAGCCTCGAGTTGTGGCGAGCTGGCGCGATCTTATGGCAAGCAGTTTTATCATTAAAACATATATCTTGATATCAAAAATTAAATTCTTGATATCACGAAATCGAATTCTTGATACCAAGAATTACCATTGCTTTACAACGTAAAATTATTTCTTGATATCAAGAATTGATTTCTTGATATCAATTAATAATAAAACGGCTTGCCATAAGATCGCGCCAGGTCGCCACAACTCGAGGTTCCAACTAGTGGGAGCCCTGCTTTAGATACCATCTGACGTAATTTAATATCTAATTGCTCGTTGCACATGAGACGTCTTTTTCTTTGCGTTTTTACCTGCACTTATCAAGTCTGCGAAGAGAATTAATTAGTGCATTCAACAGTTATTCAATGTAATGTTCGAACTCTTCATTTTCGAATCGTTGTCATTTTTATCATTATTATTATCATCATCATCATCATTTATATGAGTATGATAATCATTATAATCATCCTCATCGTCATCATCATCACATTCATCATCATCATCATCACCATCATCATCATCGCAATCATCATCATCATCATTATCATCATCACCACCATCATTTTGTATACAAGTCACTCTCACATGGCGTGTCTAATACTGGACCAATTATTAACACCGTCCTATCCACCAACCGAACGACGCCTCTTGGGCAACGGGCAAACATGACTAGGGTTGTGTATGAACGCATCTCACTTTATGTTCAACAACCCATCAAAGAGCCCTTAAAGGCCGGAGTGACATCCCAAACAATGGACAGTGATCTGTCGTCACAATCACTCGAAAAGAGACAAGACAAGACAGGAAAGAAAAGATGACAAGGTGCAAAATAGAGAAGACGGAGATTCTCGCTCAGGTGAAAAGCTGGAAAATAAACATACTTAGCCGTTAAGATATGGATGTAAAGGTGAGCCGTGCCCCTAGGTAACAGAGGGGGTGACGGGAGCCCTTGTTCGGCACACCTGGGGTTTCATGAGCTGGAGTTTACCCAAGTCCTTCTCGGGAACAAGAAGGGTGACTTAAGTCCTGTGCAGTCATTCTTGATCGGGTGTAGGCTCGGATGAGGGGTGTAGACGATGGGGTGACGATATATATAATGGTAGTAGGGGGCATAAAGGGTGTGGACAAGTATGGTAAATGGGGTACAAGTGGGGGTGAAGGATGGGTAAATAAATGAGGTTGTGGATGCACAAGTCAATGAATGTATACATTAAATTTTAAACACAGAGAAAGAAGTAGAATATCGTCACTGCGATAGAAGTCTTAAGAGTAACGTTAATTTGCCCGAATATGCCGAATTATTTTCAAATTCGTCATTGCAAATGGCATATGTTTTTGAAAAGGCTGGTATCATATTACTCAAGACTAGTTTGTAGGTTAGTTGATATAATGATAGTTTAATTTATTGAGACATCGTTTGAATAAAACAAGAGCTCAAAAGTAAATCTAGGACATAGGTCTATTCCTCTCACCACGTTTTCATTATAAACACGCCATGATCATTACACAGCAAAGGAAATACAAGGCATCGTCTTCAAGTATTTACTAGCAACTGGTTAGCAAAGTATCGTTATGACGATGTCACAATAGGCCGTTTAATCGTGTTAGAATGAAGACGATGCACGGTTACCGTATTTGCCCAGAGAGGGGTGATAATAGGGCCCGAGATGAGTCGTAATGGTGCATGAGTGATCAGAGGATAATGACTGAAGATGTGGAGGGGGGGGGGGTGGAAGTATACGTGAGAATTGGCATCCACTTGAGTTGAAGTCAAGCCGGTAAGAGGACGGAGATAAAGGCATGTTAATCCCCAAAGAGTACTTGATGAAGAGCCAAGGGGGGATTGGGAACACGGTATCGGACTTAGGACTGGGTACTTGGGGAAGTGGTGACATGAAAAACTAGAGTAATCTTTTTGGATGGGTATTAGGATTGCTACTCATACGTCACTTACTTCTTCTGATCTCCATTGCAAAAGTTTATTGTATAAACAAAACAAGAAATTATGTTTCCAATGGCTGAATTTTTGTCCATTATATTATTTTGACAATTTGCTGACTAGCATTAACGAATACAAATTTAGATGAGTCAAAGCTAATGGATATTATCGTAAGTACCAACTTAAGTACTAACATAAACTATACGCTTCGTTGTGACCATTTTTGTTGTTGTCCATTATATATATTAAAATTAGTTTTCATATAGAATGTTATGTAAGCCCCAGCAATTTTTGAATATTTTAAGAGTAATATTACTGTAAATTTAAAATCTTCGTACACATTTTCGCACACGCACACCTTCATTATAACCGTAAGCGATAAAATAAACCATGGGAATTTTCAAAGCAAAAAGGTGTTATGATGTGAGAAGGAGGAGTACATAGATCAGTCGGTATCAGGGGTGTTTAATATCTTTGTCAGATGTTGACATTCTCAGACCCATCCCTACACTTCAGACTCTAGCGAGTATTTGCCCAAGCTCCCCCAAATGGATTGGTACAGAGTCAGTAATGAATAGGAGCACCAAATACTCACCGCGGGACAGTTTTCCACCCTGCATTGCGGAGCACTCCGCACTCGACCCAGCTGCGCAAACATCTACGTGCTTGCGACAAAAAGCCGTCCACCGCTAAACGATCCAGCCCCTCCAACTATATCAGACATTGAGGAGAGAAGGAAAGTTGAAATAAAATTGACATACCGCAAGTGGATCTTGAAGTCGAAATGTTTATTGAGTGACTACTTCCCTTTTATGTTGGATGAGGAGAAGGAGGAGGAGAGGAAGAAAAAATAGATTGGTTGTTGTACCTGGCGCGAAAGTTATATTGATACGGCATTCGCAGGTATAGAAAGACCAAGTGACGCCAAATGTCAAAGGAAAATCTGTCCCATCATTTTAAAAATCGTTCAATCTTCTGAGCGAAATGTTCGCCAGATTTCAACGCGCATTAATTTTGTATAAAGCACACTTTACATTCACAAAACCAAAAGAAATGTATGTTTAATCTGTTAATGAATTGGTGTCTCATCGTACAATACTTGTATCGTCAGATGCATTTAATTCGACATGAAGAAATGAGGCAATAGCGAAAGGATGTTTTTTCTTCAAAATGATACTGATTAGAATTATCCGAATACTGCGTTGAAAAGTATATCATTTTAAGCATGAAATTGCCCCGATTGGATATGCCTTATTAGAAGAAAATGAGAAAAAGCTGAACATTAGAACTTGACTTCTTTTTAAAAGAAAAATGACATTCTAGTCATCTTACCTATGCTAACAACAATACAAGAATGCCGTTGACAAACTAAATATCTGTACATAATAATTTGTGATATTCATACTCCATAATCACATCACACTTATTTGATCCCAAGGATTTGATCTTAGAATGAAAAGCAAGAAATTAAACATATTATAACTGTAGACAGTTTATCGTGTTTGCATTTTCCTGTGACATCAAAAACAATTCAAAGAAGGTTTAGCTTGCAATGATCTCCTTCGAAAGTCTGCCCGTCCCACAATTCTTGCTTGCACTTCATGGAGCAACATAAATCGTGATAATACGACATTGGCCAGACGAGACTAAACATGTACATGATGTACAAAATGGTACTATTGCAGGAGAACAAAATTAAATCCCACAAAGTTTTGAATAGACACACAAAACAATGCATGCTTCAAGATTCAATACGTTCTTCGTCCTTCACCTTCAAATATCTATTTTACATGCGATAAAATTCTCTCTTATTATTATCAATCTTCAATAGTGCAATGGTTCAATTACTTCAGTTCTTTCCTTTTAAGACGTCACTATACGGTTCTTAATAGCCAAGTCAGCTTTTTATCCTTCTGTGGTGTAAATCTCTTGAAATTTAGATTGTATGAATCAGGTGCCTTTGCTTATCCTCGGACGTGTAGATCTTACATGTTTGAATCATTCATATCAAATTCTATTGCACATTCTTCCACAATCGGATTGTCGACAGATCGTATAGCGTGCGTTCGGGCATAAGAAATTGATAATGATACACAGTGTTAAATGAAGCCTATGGGTGTAGTCATTCAAAATTGTGACGAGAAAAAAGTGTACATTATTTCCCAATTACTTTTTATATCAATACACCCAGTGTAAACATGGCAATGGCATTTTGCAATTGGAGTATACTAATATGCGGATGACTCATAAAATGTAAATACTTCTATCTCAGGTGGTCATCGAAGTGAATCAGCATTGAAACTTGTATGTCCTTCCAGTAGTCATGGTACTTTTTGACTAAGAACAGTATCCCGCTGCTGCCACCAGTTGCCTTTGTGACTCCAACGAGTTTTCAAAAACTAAGCCCGGTGTGAATCATGAAGTGGTGATTAAGGGTTCAAAGAGGAGTAACACCATTAAACAAGGAGGAGCATGCACACTATTAACAAAAAATAGGAAGACTATTCAATGAAAACTAGGACGGAGACTATTTAGCAAGAAATATTATGTCAGACACTATTTGATATGAAATAGGATGAAAACTATGCAACATGTTCAATAGGAAATAGTATGGTGACTTTTTGCTAAGTGACAAGTTTCTTTGTGGATGCTAGGTGTTGTAGAAAAGTTATGTTTGGTCTTTCGGCGGGGGGTTGTCGTCAGACACTATCAGAAATCGAGATGAATCGGCTAATGACGCCCCCGATGAATTGTACCAATTTCCGAGATGCTCTTACGGGTGTTCAACTATTGTCGTTAAACGAAAAGTAAATACGAAAGTGGTGGGAACTGAAATTGACTCATTATAGGAATGCTTACATAAGCTACAAATAGATGACCTGGCTCTGTCGTATGCGGGTTGACTTTTGTCAGCGAGAGAAGAAATGAGAAATAGAATATACATGTATTATGTCTGCGATGTTAGTTGCAATAGTGAGTAAACTAGAGACCGACTCAGTAGTCATTACTTTATTTGACATATTTGTATTCATTCAGTCCCGAATGCTATCCAAAGATCATGATGAATATTAGAAACATTGAGAGTATTAACATTATTATTGATACACACAGAAATATAAAAATAATGTGACCACTGTCAAAACAACAAAGAAATCGAATTTAAGCTAAGTAACATAAATTATCTTCGACAAGGTCATTTACTTTGGCGTTTATTGTTGTGCGTATGATCTAATATGACGAAATATACGCTAAATAAATCTTATATCTTGACAAATAACTTTTTAAGTTGACAATAATTTTTTTTTATTTTGTACAGTTGTGTGTAATCGTCTATTTTTATTTCTGTTTAGTGCAACATAAATATAAATAAAGCCTCGCGTTGTCTTTTCCCTTTCTCCTCAACCGAACATCCGGGCGCCACAAAGTATTACATCCTTTCCTTTCGTAATGAACAAGTCGCGTTCCAATAATGTACTTAATCACATGGTAGCTTTTAACAACATTGAAAAGGCGACCTTTTTCAAAAGGACACTTCATTGCCCGGTCTTGAATAAAAGAAAAGTTGCGATTAAACGCAATTTATTTGCGATTGATATAAATCGCAACTATGTACATTAGATATATGAGACTGCAAACTTGCGATTAATCCGTGTCAATCGCAACTCTTGGTAAGATAGGGCCCAAATGTGCTCTACCTAACCTGATACGGTGGTTATAATGGCAGAAAGGACATACAGGTAATCTCTCGGTTGGTCAAATTTGAATGAAAGTGATAATGACCGCCCGCCTCTTGATCCCGTTATCTAGGGATAAGATTAGAATCGGATTAATGGGATGTTAATCAAATTGATAGGTAAAAGGATTAACTTGGATACGGGAATAAATGAACTTGATCTTGGAGTTCATTAATAAGATGAGAATCAAGTCGGTAAATGAATTGAGAGTGTTTATTTCCTCTTCTTTTCAGGAAGTATATTAGCGAAATAAGAACATTGTATACAGAACAGTATATACTGCTTTTGAAATCGGCTGCGCATGAATAGTGCGTAATGGATAAGAAGCGGCAAAGAATTAGCAGAGGTTTAATGATAATGAAAGAATGCTCATTATGGACATATCTGATCGAGTTTGATAGAAGTTTATTGGGAGTATAAAGCAAAATATACCAACTTATTATAAAAGTGTCTTTTAAATATCATAACAGAGCCTCGTTCAGCTTTTGTTTATGTTTTTTGCTTAAACCTGAAATAAAGCAATTATAAACTAACTTTGGGCTGAAATCAAAGCGTTGAATTATCTTAATCATATAAGATTGGTACTGAAGAATTATCACTATGGCGGTGATGGAGGTTGTGGTGATGATGATAAAGATGATTATGGTAATAGTAATAATAATAATGACGATGATGATGATGAAAACAGTGATCATCATGATGATGTTGATGATGGTGGCAATGACGATGATGATCGTGACAATGATCATGATGAAGATGATGATTATTATACAAATAAAACACAGCAGTGAGGGCATTAGTAAGAATTACACAAGGTATCTTTGCAACAGTCTATACGCCAGAGACGGTAGCCGAGGGTGTTCGGACGGTGTTCTGAAGGTACCGAGTGAGGGTAATTTTACTAATGCCCGAACAAAATGATGTGTATTATTTGTTTTATAAGATTATGTTTTATTTGTGTTGTAAAATGATGTTTTATAACATGATTTTACTAATGACCGGTCGTTAGAATTGGATAATGACCGGTCATTATCCAAATTACTCGTTAGGCAAAATAAATTGGTCAAAATATAAAACAAAGATATCCGATTGACCTTCTGAATACTCGTTTCAGGAAACACAAATGATTAAGCTACTTTCCTTCCGTATTCCGTGCAAACCGTATGGGTTAAAAAAATCCTGTAATTTTCCGCCTCTTTTCTTGATCATCTCTCTGCAGCTGTACAGCATGAACGTGGCCCAAGAAACTCGACAATCAAGAAACAGATGGCGCTTTATCTGAAAGAGTCTGCAGCAGCAGCAGCCGCAGCGGCAGCCGGTGATCTACCTCCCCCGCTACTCCCCAACGGTTATCTGCCAGGACCGGCCTTCTTTCACCCACTACTCGGTATAGAGTCCTATCCAAGCATCATCGTCAGCCCCGTAGATTACACCAGTTTTTCACCCCAAGCCGTCCCGTGCTATCCCACCCCAAAGGTATGTTCACTGTATTTCGATGGTGGTTCATGGTCCTCCACTTAAAACCTAGTCGGCATGCTTAACGCTTAACTGCACAATCCACCCCAAATGTGCTAATTCCCCCCCCCCCCCCCCAAAAAAAAAATGTAACCTAAAAGGCACATAGCTATAAATGTGTAATAATTTGTTGTTGTTTTGCTTGACAGCGATCATTCGAGTAAATTAACACCGAAAATATGATTTAAATTGTTTATGTCAGATATTTTGTTGTCGTAATGGTGCCCACCCCCCCCCCCTCTTACAGAATTCCGGATCTGTCAAAATTATTATTCCATGTTGTAAACTTTTAATTTGATGTATATGTGTTTAATATGGTGTAATCAGGAATTATGAGAACCTCCTCCTTCTCTTCCTCCTCCTCCTTCTCCTCTCCACCCCTCGCAGTATCCTCATGAACCAGTCACGATGATGCCGCCCGTCGGGTCGGTAGATGCCATCTGTGAGACAGCAGCTCGTCTTCTCTTCATGAGTATCAGATGGGTGAAAAACGTTCCCGCCTTTATCGGCCTACCATACTCAGATCAGGTGAGAATCACATTTCATTATTAGTTTGTTTATCAATCTAACTTGAAATCCAAAATTAATTTTTGATATGGGGCCTATTTCTTTAATCTGTCTACAAAGTCTTCCAATATAAATTTCCCCTCAATAAAAAGGCAACGTACTTTTACATTTGCGTTACTTTTTAAGACCAGTATAACAACTTGATCTCTAACATTTAACACTTTAATTGGTATCGATGGATGATGTTCATTAATATGTCAATGCACTATTTCATTGACATCTGAATAGTTCCATGATACAGTTCTGATAATTACATACAACATCCATTCTTCTCGGTTAATGCCTAACATTCCAATAAGTACACATTCGGTGCCGTCAGATTCAATAATTGGTATCGATGAAGAATGTTATGACAATATAGAGGGAGAAAATGTGTCGGTGTGCACTGACAATTATCAGTTATAGAGAATGTTTTGTTCTATTTTAAATTGCAAATTATAGATCATATGATAGATGATAACATATCGACGTATAATGAACTTATATTCTAATATGGGATGCAAGGGAACTCATTATGAGTCGAGGAATCGAGAGTATAGTTTTGTTTCGGAATGTAAATTAAAAAAAGAAAGAGTAACGACCTTTCTTAACTTCTACATACCCTATATAGCTCGTGAAAATGACTAGACACATTTACCACAAATGCTCAATTGAACTTGGAATTAGACTTCTCTTACGTTTCATACAGTGTAGCTTCAAAAATGGCAAAAATGACTTAGAAATATGGAAGTGCCATTGAAATTTAGAATTGTACTTTAATATTTCGCTGGTCCCTTCTGTTACAGCTCACGTTACTGGAAGAGGGCTGGAGAGAGTTATTTATCTTGGGAGCAGCGCAATGGCAGATGACAGTAGATGGGCCTGGTCTCATGGCTTCAGCAGGTAACACTTATTTTCATTGTTTTTTTCATATCTGTTTTAATCTCCTTAACCATCTGCTGCAACATCATATAAAACATCGTCATCTTCATCTTTGTCATTGTCATCATCAACGTCATCATCATCATTATCTTCGTCACCATCATCACAATCATAACATTTTCATTTAAAAAATTATAATAGTTTGAATTTTTTTTTTTTAAATTGAAATTCTCAGAATAAATTAATGAGCTCGAAAATATCAAACGAATACAATATTAGGCCCTACTTCATATCGGATCTCCGTCGAACAAAGTTTTAAAGTGGATTATCTTTGCCCCTTCTCTCCAGGTATGAAACCCGACACAACACCAGCTGAAAAGTTAGCGGCCATTTCTAGTGAGCTGCGGGTATTACAGGAATTGATCGCCAAGTTCAGGCAGCTCAACGTTGATGACACAGAATTCGCTTGCTTGAAAGGCATCGTCATCTTTAAGACAGGTAAGTGATGGGCGAATGTTGTCAGGTATGCATTTATTTGTTGGATAAAGCAAAATTGGATGGATGGCAATATGGTTACTGATGCTGCAGGCGGAAGGGGTTGAAGGGAATAAAGGTTTCCCTTCTTTTTACTCCATAATCAGACTCGTGTCTTGTCGTCAGTTTGATGTAAAGGAATAAAGGTTTCCCTTCTCTTGGTGTTCGGCTATCATTATTTCTCACTTTACCTGATCGATGCAGGGTGAAAGTGAAATTATTTGCGTTATTTCCATAATTATTATTATGTTTGACTGAAGCCTTGGTCACAAATGCCATTACGAACTGCTACGAACGCCGTACGAACGATTTTCAGCCAATGGAAATTCGGGAAGACAATGAAAAAACAGGGAGATTCGTACGAAATTATCGTTCGTACGAACCTTTGTGACCGCAGCATGACATGTTTTGCTTGGAATTATAAACAAAATCTTTTTGTTTCTTCTTATCTTCAGATATCAGTGGAATCAAGGAGACATCCTCAGTCGTCACACTTCAAGACCAATCGCAGCTGGCTCTAAGCAAATACATCACGGTTCGGCATCAAACCCAGCCCTACCGGTTCGGCAAGCTTCTTCTTCTCCTTCCGAGCGTAAGGGCCATCAGACCGACCACCTTGGAGCAAATCTTCTTCTGGAAGGCCGTCGGGTCAACTCCCTTCCATACACTCCTCACAGATCTGTACAAGAAGAACGAACACTTTTAGGAAAACAAAAAATGCGTGAAACAGTGAAAATGAACATCATGTGACCGTCATTCTGCGTTAATTGACGCTAGGAGACGTCTTTGCGTGGAAAACATTAAATGTTGGTCTGTTGATGTAGTCGATCGAGGCCAGAAGTTCCGAGACATGAGGTGGCTGAAAATCAAAGTCTTCCACAGACTTTGTACTCGTGTCTTGGTCCGAGGGTAAGCCCATGGTCTCGAGGCCGGTCTCGACTGCAGCAGTGCTGTTGGTGATCGGGCTACATCACAGCGGACTTGTCATTGCAATCACGGCGGATAGCATTGACAAAGTGTGACACAGATCACTGCACGAAACACCTTATATTTTCACGGAGCTTTAAGATAAAGGGACAAACCATGATGGCGATGATCCTTAATTGAAGCTGCACAGCATTCGAAATGGCCTGGAAAACCGAACTCACTCAACTCCAACAGGGACTCAATAAATACAAGATATGAGATAATGTACTAAGGGTTTACTTCTGGATACAGGTTGAGATGCCTCTACGTCAGATTCTGTTAATGTAGTGCTCCCGCAGTATAGGCGCGGTCTGGGGTAGCTACTCTGTAATTGTACTTGAATTCAGCACTTTGCCAAAGCCTTTCCAGCCTATTTCAAACTGAATAAAAAACAGCCACCACAACTTGGTTTAGAAGACTGTTCCACGTACTAATTATTGTCATAGAGAAGAAACTACTACGAATACCTTTGTCTGATCTGCGCTTAGTCAGTTTATATTTTTACCCATAGTGCCAGTGGTCCTGAGCTGAAATAGAGAGAGGACTTTATTTTCCTCAATGATATTCTCCACAATTTACGTCCAAAGAATGAGAAAGATGAAATGTTCTCTCATCTTCACCATAACTTAATGTTCAATGTAATTTAAAGCCCTTTGGTATCTTGTAGTGCGATAGCGTTCTAGATTAATTTTTGTATAGCTCACTGTAGTACCATTGAGAACCAAAAAGTATTTTCTATTATTATTTTTTATCTATACTGAAAATTGCCAATGAAAGCATTATCCAATGAAGTACGGGGTCTAATGCAAGCATCACTTGTTTTTGATAACCACCAATATATTTGCACTAAAGTATCATAAAAGAAAAGAGGTTAATCAAAGTACGAGATTCGTTGGTCTCATGTCGTCAACACTTATCTTGATTTGATGTCTACAAAGCCGGGGCGTCGACCATCGTAAGAGTGGGGGGGGGGGGGGCTGTATAATCGCCACATATTAAAACCCTCATTAGAGTATGAAGCTGGTTTAAAACGTATGCAGGGGCACTGACCCCTCTCTTCCCCTCCCTCCCATAAAGGTCGAAAGTCCGGTCATAAAAAAAAAAACAATATATAATCATGCCGCTTTGAGTCATGATATCCAACAATAATTGTTGTGTTGATCAATGTCTTTGGGTATGGACTGAATGCACTGGTTTCAATTATCATGATCTATTAGAATGGTAAACACTATTCTCTGAGGTCATCAAATGGCTTCAAATATTAAATATAAATCATCAATTTATTACATGAAACATGTTTTCATTGATTTGTAACTCAGATTAGATAGAAATCATCTATTGCTATCGTCGTAATGTGCCTTGAAATATATTGTGATGACCAAAGATTATCTTCCAAACTGCACCTTTCAAATCATTCCATTTCATTTTATACGTATAAATTTACGTTGAAATTGTATCAGTGTCTTTATATTACCCATGTTGCTATCAAGTAGAAATAAATAATGACTTAGAATGCGTTATAGTATGCGTCTATAACACTAAAAAGAATTAGTCTTTTGAAAACAAAACAATCAGGACTTGTCATGTCTTTCTATTCGACAATTATAAACAGCCCTATGAAAAATGTCTCGTTGCCTTGGTAAACGAAATCGACAAATACGATTCAAAATGTCAATATGCAATGACAAAGTGCCTTTCATAGGAGTGGTGACTATTTAGCGCTTGCATCTTTGCCCAAAATGCAGTCTATAGCTTTTTAGGAGAAGTCCACGAATTTTATAAATTTTATTGAAAAAAAGATTTCATGTGGAAAATTAAGTATGCCTTATTCAATTCAGAGAGGTTTTAGAAATATATTTCATAAAATTCAAAGTGTTGTATCGTAGGGGCTGATATCGCAACATGAATTTGTCAAAGTTGCGCAGAACTTGTTCAATCTATTTTCAACAAAATATGCTATTTAATGTGAAAATGTTTCGTGAAATATTTGACTTCAGGCTATAAAAGTGCCTTCAACAGAATCTTCCTCTTGTAAGAAAAGAAATGCAATATGTAAATAAGATTTTCTTTGAGTATTGAGTGTTGTCCTAAGCAATAGGGAATGTTCACTGGGACGACTGCATGTTTGTAATGTGTATATAGTTTTTGTTTCTCTTCTGATCTCTTTTGTGACTATGGTTTTGTGAAAACCATGCATCAAGTGTCTTGAACATGTTGGATAAATTGTATGTCAACTTTTAATCTTAAAAGATTCAAATGCTATGAACTTTAGCGGTGTTAGAGTATGTTTCGATTTGTTTTCTCCAATGAGGCAGATTTGCTCAACTTTATTTTCTGTAAAAATGTGAATATAATTATGTGAGACACGTTAAGCCAATTTCTGGCTGAATAAAATGATTTAAAGAATTATTCTAGATTTGTACTTGTATTTTTGTTGGGCGTTGTGTTTTTTGTTTGTTTGAATTTTATCTATGCGTTCAATAACGTAATACAAAAAAATGTTATATAACAGAAAACATATATATGAACATATTTTCAGACATAAATATTATTGTTAATTTAGAATTAAAATTCACAATTATTGGAATTTGTGAACACGGGAGATCGCCATCATAAGCGAGTTGCTTGATGTCATTGGCAGCAGCATGGCGGTTTTGTATCTACATGTAAGGTGACACGCCCTAGTGCCGTGAAGGATTTAGGAAATGGGCACACCCCCCCCCCCCCTTAATGAGGAAGTCTACCTGGTATTAAGTTAGTTTAAAAAAAACAGAAAATAAGAGAGAAAAGGGTTAGTGTAAGTTAGAGAAAAACCGATTAAAAATAAGAAAGTTGTGAATTTTTGGTGCGATAAATCAAACACAAATTAAAAACTCTGTGGCGTATCTTGCGAGCTTTCCTCTCGTATGCCCTGTACTAAACAAACTTCAAGAAAATGTTCAATTATACATTTACCCTAGCTTTCCTATTTTCAATCGGATACTGCTCAAACTTTCACTCATTTGTCATTCTCATTTTTCTGCTTTTATTTAAACCAACCAAATATTAGGGTAGACTTTCCCTTTAAGGATCAACGTGGCATACCCGAAGCCGAAGTGCTCAGATGTCTCTACTAACTGTCTGATTGGCTCCCTGTAAACTTGTTGACCATTTATTCACAAGAATCCCCCGACTCCCTTGACTAAATCCTGATCTGTAGACATTTACCGGACTATACCGGTTTAAGTCTAAAACATGTATCTTTAACTTCAAGTTCAATTTTATTTTCCACATGTGGTTCATAACAAAACAAATATACATACACATATATGTTCAGTCATATAAAAAATGCAAAGTAACACAAAATTAACAAACAATAATATTAAGAGAAAAAAATAGCGAACAAAATCTAATGTCCATAAACACAGACCAGCAAAGGGCTTATATATGTCGAGGCTAATCCTCAGTACAGTAATAGATATTTTTGATATTTTTATATTTAAAAAAAAAAAAAAAAAAAAAAAAAAAAAATCACAACAATATGACAGTCATAAAAGCGACGTACAGTACATGACAAAACAAATGAAGTTGGCAAATTAAACAGGCAAAATATACAGTTTAAATATACGCTTAAAATTAGAAAGTGTCGGACTGTCCTTAATTTCCCCTGTGGAGGGAAGGGTGTGTCCTACCATTAAGTACACATACACAACTGAGTGAAAAAGAAGAACAAAATGTGCTGATACCAGATGTGGTGGGGGAAATGATTTGATATCAGCTATTAAATTGATTTATTATGCTCTTGAATGATAATATTATAGCACTACTTTCATTATGTTCATCTCGATTCTTCCCCACTTTGGTTATCTTGTTTTACCTGACAGCTAAGAAAGCATGAGCTTGTAAGTAAGCAACTTTATTTCTATCAATTTAAGATATTGTAATGAAGCTACCGATCCTCTTAAAACTAAACACTATTACCAAAACTCAATACTGTCACGCAACTTGAAGAAAATGAAATTATACGCTTCCTCAGTCTTGACACTGATGTATTTGAAGGGGGCTGGGGGGGGGGGGGGAATAGGGGCATTATTTTTGCCCCCCCCGACAAATTTCCGAGTCCAAGGGAAAATGATGATACGTGACGGTTTCAGTTAAGTGGGGAAATTATTGCAAGTTGAATAATCTTCAAATTACTGTTAAAACTGTATGAAATCATAAGTGTACGTATTCTTAAATACAAATACATATAACTATACATCGATTGGATACCGCTGCTACTTACCGTGATAATAGTACATCGAAAACAAAATTATAAAATTTACAAAATATTAAAAAAGAGATTAGACAGATTTAGAAGAACATACATCACCCTAACCCCCCCCTCTTTCCCGCCGTCCATGCAATTTTTGAAATCTTGAAATACATGGATCGTTAAACTCTTTTGTTTATATATTTTTGTTTGGTTGGCTTGAATCACATTAATGATTGATTTTGAAGTTCGTACCGCTATAGTTATTGATACTTTTCTCTGAATATTGATCACAAAGTTTTCCTGAGCCATTTCTTTTATAAGCTTATCATATGATGTACTTGGTAATTTTTTTTATTATTAAGTCTTAGGAATTAATCGTCTTCATTGTATGAGATGTACTAGTGGTATTATTTTTCGCAATGTTTTACCCCATTTCGTCAGCATAAAATGTTATTTTCTTTATTTGATTTACCTTGTTAAGCGCGTAGAGCATATAGACAGACTCTGGTTTACTATGCGCTATACAAATTAAGGCTTATTAACATTTTAATTATCACTATTGGCTCGAATGATGTACCCAACGCCCCCCCCCCCCCCCCTCGATGCCAATTAGGCCCAGTTACACCACTGAGTCTTGGTGTCACTGTGATATCATTAAGTTAGTAAAGTTTCACCTTTAGTCAGCTAAACACTCGAAATCCAAAGGCCTTGATGAAGAAAAGGAAAGCATTTGAAAAACAATAAAGGTTTTTAAACAAATCTTATTGTGGAACTATATAATCAACGTTTAAGTTGTACTTTCCACTTGAATACTTTCATTTTCGTTTACTCCTTTAAGAAATAGAATGCTTTGTGGGTAAGTAAATCTGCTCCGTATTGCTTTCATATCCACTCATCTTCGTTGTATAGATGCATGCTCTGTGGGTTTCAACTTTCTTTTCTTCTCTTTTGTTTATTTAAGTTTTATTTTTCATTAGTATTTTCCTTCACTTTTCCTTCCTTTTCTTTTCTCCGTCCCATTTCACGTCTCTTTTCTCTTCTTCTTCTCTTCCTTTCTATGATCGCCTTTGCTTCTCTCCTATCTTATTTTCTTTCCTTTCTTATTTTTTTCCCCCTTTATTTTCTTTTCTTTATTCACTTTCCCTTTTATCGCTCCTATCCTACTATGAACTTTGTATTTTCTGTCAATTCCTCTCTGTTTCTTCCCATCTAACATTAACCCCAACCTCTCCCTCATTCTCCATCTTGCTCGTCCCTCTCCTGATCCCCTCTTCTCTCTATCTCTCTCGTCTTTTTCTCTTCCTCATCTTTTGTCAATTAGAGGGTAATGTCTATCTCATCTCATTTTTACCCACTTCTTCTCAAAATCTCAAATTACTCTTTTTACCATCATAAATCCTTTTTCTTCTTTCTTGTATATCTCCAATTCATTATTTTTCTAACACGTTTGAAATGGGGGGGGGGGGGGGGGGAGAGGCGGTTTCTCCCCTTATAATAAGCCTCATTGAAATCCTATATCTGTTCTCCATCGACAAATTGCTGCCATTTTTTTAGAAGTTAACATAATTGCAACATTCATCTTAATTTCGATGTAACCCCTAATTACTTCATTAGATGATGCTTAAATTCACTTGAAATAATATTACTTAAATGCAATGATTATGATTTGTAATTTATTATATATCTTATGTATAAATATGTACAAAAACTGTCATAAATACAAAATCACACGAGTACAAATGGTAAATAGTACTTCACTTTTGATGAATATGAATATGAAAGCGATGAGAGATACCATAAATAGGAATACACAGCTGAATATAACATGGGATAACCCTTGCAATGTAGGGTTTGACTTGTATGATATCTAACTTCTTCACAGTTGTTAAAGTGTTCCAATCACCTGAAATAATAATATGTGTGTAGCTAGAATCATATAATGTATAAAATTAATCTTTAACAAAAATTGAAAATGACATTCTGTAGAATATGACAAAAAATAAAGGATAACATTAGACATTGCGCAGGGAACACAAATCGGACAAGGCTTCAGATGCAAACGTATACAACTGAACTGGATAGTTTAGTCCGCAAGTTGTTTTCATGTTTAATTTCTCTTTACAGTAATAGCATTTACAGCTTTGATTTTGAAACCTGTACAGCAAGATGGAATCCCTTACATCAAGAGCAAAACCTGTTTTAGTGATTGGTACACTGTAGTCTTCTTTGTATGATAAAATACTTCAAGGTAATATCAAATGTTACGTCAGGGAGGTGTTTCACAAAGATCCTAAGTTGAACTTATCTCTAAGTTGGACTTAAAAATAATGGAAAGCCATTAGCATCCTTGAAAATATTTTGTAAAAGTTATTGTAAAAGTTATTTTAAAAGGCATCAAATGTTGATTCAAATCATTCATATTATCTATTATCATGGGAGATTTCATGTTCTTGATGTGGAATTTATAAAAAGTAAAAAATAGTTGAATTTTTTCTTTTGAATATATGTTATTTTAAGGCTACAAATGGCTCTCCATACTTTTTAAGTCCAACTTAGAGTTAAGTCCGACTTAGGATATTTGTGAAACACCCCCTGGTCAAGATAGATCTTGTGATCATCATCATGTATTGATAGGGCCGTCAAGGGTTAAAATAAATACAATGTGGAACTAGATTCGTCTTATAGGGAGTTCCAATTGATCCAGATTGATTGCAAGGGAATCAAACACCAAACAAGACAACTACCTCTTTAAAGATAAAGACCAGTTTTGGAAATGCCCCCCCCCCCTCTCAAAAAAATGAAATGGAAGCTCTTATTACCAATCATGTGAAAGAATATGTTTTTACTAATATGTACTGAGTCCCATATACATCTTTCTGTGTACAGTGCTGGTAACTTTACCAAGACTGAGCCAATTTTCTTATAACTTTGATGATTCCAGAACCTTGCAGTACACACCAATACTTATATGCTAGATGATCAACCTTTTCTGATCGATTCCACATTTCTTTCACAATGCAATCGCATGACCATAATTGGTCTTTAACTTTAATATATAGCTGTGATTGATATCATGTTGCAATCAATATGAATCAATCATGAATGTTTATAAGATGGACAGGGCCCACAGAATCAGTCTGGGTGTATTTCAATTGTGCAAAAAATACTGCATGGGCAAAGTGAACGCGACAAGATTTTAAATTGGCAACACCTTTAAAAATTCTATTTAAAATCCAATTTCAACTAGTCATTTTTTATTAGGGGCTACCAAAGTTGGGTTTACTTTTTTTGTCAGATAAAAAGCACTTCTAAAAAAAGATAGTAGAAACAATTGGAAAGACAACGGGGAGTCCTACATGCAGGACATCATATAAAATACACATAACATCGATATGGAAATTGCTATAAAATCTCAGGAATTCTTTCTACATTTAAATTGTGAAAGCAGTTACTCAAGGCATATTGTTGATTTCATATAAATTATGAAAGCATTGTTAGAAAAGGGCAAGAAAGAATCATTTATAACCACTTGGACAGCTGAAAAGGAATAAGTCACAAAAATATAACTTGCTCTGGAAGTGTTGGGTTCCAAACAAGTATATTACATTTAAATGTTCATCTACAATATTACATTTGTAAAGAAAAATTGGAAATTCCAAATCTTTATAAATGAAGATAAAAGCGACTTGTCATTAGACTAATGGATGAGCCTGTACATACACACCAGTCAACTGTCCGATGTGGATCACATACATAATTTTGTTTAAATTTGAAAAAAAAAGAAAGAAAAAAAAGTTGTTTGTTGGGCCTTTATTCTATACACACTAGGTGTGCATATTTCAATTTTCCTCTATTAGTGTTTATATTTGGCGACTGATTACAACACAGATGTTCTGCATGTTTAATAACATCTTGAAGCTGTTGAAGATGATCATCAAACTATAGGTTTACATTAACCTATAATACAGATAGCAATGTCATATTCTAACATACCAACTGCCACGCCAAATTACACACTGGCTTAGTGTAGTGGATCCAAAAATTTATCCAAACTGAATCAATGGCCCAAATTCACAAAGGAGGTTTGTTGACAAACCTAGGTTTATGTGCGTCATATGACGCGTTTCAAGGTTTGTAAAAACGCGTCAAAACGCGTCATATGACGCACATAAATCTAGGTTTGTCGATAAATCTCCTTTGTGAATTCGGGCCAATATGTTTGATATGTGGTCTACAAAAGTCAAACCTGCTTTCGCAACAATCTGTCTACATAGGAAGAGTTTCATTCCAAAAGGAGCTAAATCCATGTTTGTAACTTCGGAGAAAAAAGACATTGTTAGGTCTATAGAAACCACATTTTTTGTTCCACTCAAAAAAAGTTTCTCATTGAAACATGTACTAAAGCAACCTATACATAGAGACCACCTGCCTATAAAGACCACTTTTCTTGTCTCCCTTGGGTGGTCTTTATAGACAGGTTTCACTATAGTAATGCACATTTTCCAATTTCCATAATTTCCATTGAAAACCTAACCTGCAATATATCAAGTTCTTTCTTCAGAGTGCATAAATTATCCTGTGCCAAATGTCTGTACCTTGCACTATTTTCATATATCCCAACATCCCAACCCAATATAAATATTGATATCATTGATGGAAAAGAGTTCTATTGGAAAAGGGTTCACTTTTTATCAACAATGATTCATGGTATTAGTACAAATGCTTCTGCAGCTGCTTTTTCCTTTAGAAATACCCACACAAAGGAGAGTAAAATAATCAAGACTTCATTGCGTATTTGGTGGATTGGTTATGGCTTGAGAATTTCAAATCTCGCAAAAAGAAATAGTTACCATTTCATCCTATTCAAAGAGGTAATATGGAATACTGATCATAAGCCCCAGGACTTGCCAGGTTTGTTGGATATGAAAACTAAAGGACGACAATTGATCCTTGGAGGAATGAAAGAGGAGGAGTACTGTTAAGTCTTGTAGTGCTATTGTTATGAAGTGCTCAAATACGTAGTCTGCAGGCACAGACTTTATTCCATAAAGCTTTTATTCACATCATGCTCACAGTTATCCGTTTAAAAACTAGTCTCCAGTTCTGATAACGATGTTGCATTTCAAGAGAAACTGACTCAAATACACTCTGAGTCAATTATCATGCAGTGGTTGCGCTGTTTAGACCAGCAAAATATTTCATAAATTACAATCAACGACTTTCTGGAAATCAATTTCATTGAAAAGCACAACTTACATTTGCATATAAGACCACCTCAATGTTGTTATTTTTCTTTGCTTATAATTGAGCAATTACCAAAAACTGTACCGCAGATATTTACATGTACAACATAGTACATGTATTCTTGAATAATAACTGGATGATTTGGTTTTATCCATTGAGAAATCAGTTTCTATCGATCCCACACCAGAACTCAAGATAACTATAAAAACTTGGGATCTTGGAGATATATGAATACTTTCAAGGTATCATTTCTACATGCATACATGATACAGATCAATTACACTACAATAGATAAATAACATGAATTCTGCTCAAACTTGCCAACTCAAAGAATAATTTCCCTGGTGTATTTCAATTTCTGTTCTGGAGCAGCAGTCCTATTAAAACTTTCAACAGTACTGACAAGACTTGCGCCGTTACTGGCACCATTACTAATGAAAGCTGCACCACTTCTTCTGTTAGTACTCATGGAATTAACACCGGGGATGCTATTGCTGGTACCACTAGTCCGTTTGTCTATGGTGTAGTTTGTGGAAGAGTGATCGGCGCCATTGATTGCACCGCCTATTCGAACAGGATTTCTGGTATCTGAACTCAAAGTACCATTACTTGCATAGCTTTCCCTGCTTGTCCTATTGGAGTGTGAGGAAGAAGTAGCCCGATTACCGCTAGTACTGTCCTTTGTACCACCAGAACAATGAAAATTATTATTCGGAGCATTAAAGGTACCATTGTTTCTTGTACCGGCACCAGTAGGAACATTGTACTGATTGCCTGATGTTGCATGGTTGTTGAACGTTCTTGAGGTGCTAGATGTTATTGAGCCAGAGTGGACGAATGTTGACGTTGAATTCGGTGCTGCATTGTTGTTTTTGTTGACTGGTATCTCTGGCCGGTTGAGGTTACCGGCATGTGACTGGTTGGTTCTGGTGATGGCAAACACAGCACCGTTGCTCCCGCTCCTTCCCTGGACCACTGAGTACCCTGGTGGAAGGGACTGCTGGGAAGCTTGAGTTCTTGGTTGTAGATGAAGCTGATTGAGACCCTTTCCAGAGGTAGTATTATTGTTACTGGACACACCTCGAACAGCACCCAAAGTAGGGGTCACACCAAGCCGACTGGCTGCTGATCTAGAGGGTGCAGCAGAGTACCCCATGCTTTGTGTCTTAACATTAGTACTTGAGTCGCTTCCACTGCCAATTCTCTTTTGATCTGTACGTGAAATCGTCCTACCTCCAGGTAATGAGCTTGCATAATGATTGCTCAATGTTGGGGCATGTCCAATTTTGGGGGGAACTTCGTTTGACCTACTCTGATTCAAAGATTGATCATTGTTTGCATTGTTTACATTTTGATGGTATGGTTGGGCAACCCTATATCTATTGTCAGATGAAGCACTATCTTTACTCCTGTAGGGAGGTGGTGGTTCATCATGAGATGTTTTCATAGTCTCAGACTTGATGACCTTAAAGAGATCAGGCTGATGGCTTGAGGATGAGGAACGAGGGTTGTAGGTCCCCTGGTATGACTGTCCACTGTAGGGGCTGATGATATTATATTTGATCGGGGAGGAGTTTTGAAGAGATGACGCCTCCCCAGACGAAATTCCAGAGGATGTGCTGTGAGCTTTCCCAGAGTCTGTTGGAGAAGGGTTGTCACTTGAAGGTTGCTCTGTACTTGGTGTAGCAACTCTATGTCCGTCTGATGATGCGAGGGTTGACGTTGAACGCGGTTGAGATGCAGTTGAAGTTGGCGAGACAGGTGGGCTGAACGGAGGTGTGTAGCTTGCTTGTATGCGTAACTCTGCTGGTGGTGGTTGAGTGCTTACTGGATGAGGGGGACGCACTTGAGCATGTAACGGTGGGGGTGGTCTAGCATTGACGGTAAGGGCTTGATAGGCTATCAAGTCTGCCCTGGTTGGGCCATGCGACCTTCGATCTGATGACACACTGGACCCCTTCAAGGTGTGAAGACCAGAGTCTCTGGTGGACGATGATACACCGCTTATTGATTTGGGTTTGTACGACACCGTCTCCAGCGATTGCTGAGATGTGGTTTCAGATTCTGAGGATTCTGAAGATTCAGTATCGTCCGTTTCTTGAGATGGAAAGACAAAATCGGCGGGAAGCGAGTGATGGGAATCGGTGTTAGGGGAGTGTTCATGAGCAGTAATGAGCGGAGGTCGGTAAGTACCATCAACCATACTGAGAGGTGTACTACTATTGCTACTGCTGCCACTGGCACGATCTTCATCGCTAACTGCTAGTCTAAAGCTGCCACTCCTGGATGACTTTGGAATGGCACCAGACTTGGCATAGTCCTTAGCTTTTGCTGTCTCTGTCTTCTTGTAGTGGTGAGGAGACTGTTCGCTAGGTTGACTGGAGGATACAGGACGCTCCTTGACACGGCTGTTTTTCCTTGCATGCTCTTTCTCCTCCTCCTCATCTTCACTTTCATCTTCGCTCTCTTCATCGGTATCTTCCTCGTCTTCTTCCTCTAAATCACAATCACTGACATTCCCAAGTGATTTTGATCTCTTTCGATGAGTGACCACCTCACGACCATTCAACCGGTAGAACCCCGCCCTGGGACGACTTCTCCTCGTAGAAGATGCAGTCTCTGCATCATCCATGGTCCTGCTCAACTGCTCATGGAGAGGCTGAATCCTCGACTCAAACCAGTGCCTCAGTTCTCTCCTCAGCACATCTGTCCGAGCATCATGCTCCTCCGACCATGCCTTCCTCTCCTCTCTTGCTCTCTTATCTATCCTATGAATGCAGTCCCCTTTCTCAGCTGCTATTCGTTCCTTGCACAGTTGATCCATGCACTGAGCTTGGTGGGTCATACGCTTCTCCATGTTGTTCATTCTGCTCTCAAAGCGAGCTTTGGATATATCTATTTCATGCAGGAGTCTCTCTTTACTCGCTTCCACCTGGTTCTCAAGTTTCTTGATGTAAGGGGTACAGTTGCAGTGCACCGGCATGGGAACCTGAGTGAGATAAATGGTCAAGCATAATTAGATCATTTCAGTTTCAAATTTAAGAAAAATCGTTCCAAACATAACATAATAGGTAAACGCTTTGGTCCATATTCTTGTAGCTCCGTTAAACCCCAACTCTTGGTCCCAAAATTCTGTTTGACATAACAAAATCTTAGACCGCAGAGCATTGTTCCACGAAACTGTCAGAAGTCCAAGCTTGCCGACATCAGATAGAAATGTGTGTATTAAAAGTTAAACTCATTTAAATTGGATATCGGCCAACTTGTACTTTTGAACATTTTGTGGAACAATGTCCCAACTGGTTTCCTTTCTTATACCCAATTTTGAACAAATACCTGAACCCAGCATCGTGTTAAAAGTGTACCAATGTGTAAAACCAATCCCCGCCCCGCAGTAACTGCACTACCTTACTGCAGTACTTGTATAGATTGGATTTCCGTATGTTGGATTTCTTTTAGCGTTGGATATTTAAAATGCAATATCTCTTTGTAGAAGTAATATTTGCAGCTTCTATTTTGAATACATTACATTCACATGGAACCCATTACATCAGGAGCAAAACATGCTTCAATGATTGGTACATTCATTGTAATAACATATGGGTCATTCATTCATACACTGCCACAAATAAAACTTCATAAGGATTGTGCTGCTGAAGTAATTAAACATTTCTTGCTTACATGAAGTACCTTTCCAGTCTTGTCTTTGAAGAGTTGAGTCCTGAAATGGGGGTTCCCCTGCTCTGTGTGTTGGCAATTGCCCAACTCCCGACCAAGATGGATTTGTTCCTGGAGTTTCTTCTCCGACTTCAAATGTTTCTTCATCTCCTCTCTCACAAAGAGGTTCTGTCCTTGACTCTGAACAAGCATTAGAAGAAAAATATCAAAGACATTTTTGTCACTACTACTTCTAATAATAACAATAATGGTAAATAAAAATTATGATGATGATGATGATGATTAGAATAATAATAATAATAATAAAGTGATGATGATGATTACAATAATAATAATAACAACAATGATGATGATGGTAATGGAGACAAAAATGGTAATAATGATGATACAAGGTCCTCTCTCATTAACTCTGAAAAGAAATGTTTCTTAAAATTTCTATTTTCTTAGTTGCTGAGAAAGGAATATTATTTGTTCATACAGGGGTTGTGTATTATTAGCAGTGATTAATTTTAGGGGCATGCATAATTAGAGAAATTAAAAATGTTCAAGTAAAGATCAAATGGCTGGGGACCTTTCAAGACACGTCACACAAAGTTGATCGTATGATCGATTACAAATTCAAAAGCTTGTAACTTCCTAATTTTTGCTCTGATCTAAAAATAACTAGTGCACAGATTTTCATCTATCATGCACCATAGCACTTGCCTTCCCTCACTGTTCCATGGCATACCCAATTGCATGCCACGGCATAAACAATTTGTGTCCATGTGTCAGGGTGGTTTAACTCAGAGCAGTTCAGAGTTTTCTAAAGTTTTAAAGGAATCAGATTTACCTCTTCAAATTGACACCAATTATTTGTATTTTCCACTCTTTCATAGTTATACCAACAAAATAAAAACAAATATTATGTATATATATTATCAAGTCCATTCGTTTACATGCAGTTGTCCAAAAAAGACGTTAACCAGTATTTGCCACTACACTACCTTTCAGTGATTTTGTGCGCTTTCTGCTCATGTAGAATTTGTAATGCAGAGCATTCTAGATCAACAGATAAAGCTATAATGTCACTAAAACATGACGATAGACTGTTAGGGAATAAGATGTTGCTTTTAGATATTTACCTTGTCTCTCTTCTTCTTTGACTTTCCTTTACTGCTTCCTGAAGAATGTCTGTCCCCAGCTTCCATCTCTCTCCGTCCTCGGATCCTAGCCCCACCCTGGCCCCCATCCATATCATCATCACCTCTCTGACAAATCAGAGAAAGAGAGAGAGAGAGAGAGAAATGAATTAATATTAATATTGCTGACCTGCACAACTTCATGCAGTAAGACCATTGACATATATAAGATATACATTTTGTATACAGTGCATATTACATTAAATATCCATGAGTAACATTATAATATAATGTCATACACACAAAGAAAAGTACATTGGAAATGCTGGTAAATCAGTTAAACCGCGACTCTCAGTCCCAAAATTCTGTTAACATAAGGAAATCTTAGAGCGCAGAGCATCATTTCACGAAACCGTCCTGTAAATACAAGTTTGTTGACATCAGATTGAAACACCTGTTAAAAGTAAAGACCAGTTTTGGAAACGCCCCCGTCTCAAAAAATGAAATGGAAGCTCTTATTACCAATCATGTGGTGAAAGAATATGTTTTCACTAATATGTGACATACAAATTTTGGCGTGAAACCGCCTACTAATTGATATATTTGGTAAAATATTATATCTATTTGGACCTGATAGATATCGCGCACGTGTCGCGCATGTGTCGCATAGTCCCATATACATCATGTACATCTTTTTGTGTACAGAGCTTGTAACTTTACCAAGACTGGGCCAAATTTCTTATCATTTTGATGATTCCAGAACCTTGCAGTACACACAAACACTTATATGCTAGATGATCAACCTTTTCTGATTGATTCCACAATGTTTCTTTCACAATGCAATCGCATGACCATAACTGGTCTTTACCTTTAATAACAATACACAGATTTCAATGGGATGTCAATGAACTTGTAGTGATATTAAAGTTGCGTGAAATTCTGGCCCGGATAATGATACAGTCAACGCTTTTATTGGATACATCATAACTGGCTACATTATAGTATTAATGACTGCTTTGAGAGAAATAGTTGTTTTATTACGCTCAAGGGAAGGTTAGAATTGTGCTATTCCCCGAGGCTTGCCGAGGGGAATAGCCCAATTGTAACCTTCCCGAGAGCGTATGAAAACAACTATTTCTCGAATATTAAAGCAGTCATTAATACTTTTATATGCCGAAAAAAAATAGACTAAAAAATGAAAAATTAAAAATATTTATCATTTTTGTCGAAGACGGGAGTCGAACTCTTGCGTACAACAAGAGGTGTACCGATAACCAACGCTTAGACCACTCGGCTATGGCCCGCCGTTAACATGCTTGGCAGTTTTCTCCAATATATACATTAAAATAAATTGAAACCGGCTTCGCGTGTGATGAATGCTTCGCAAAAGCTCCATATACGGACTCTTCTTTTACTTTTGCAATGCATATTGGCACGAACTTAGATCAAGATCTATCGGCAGATGTTGTTTTTTTGTTTTTGGAAGTTTATTTTCGTCTTCATGTCAACAATGCAAGATAAAATTGTCGGTAAGATCGATCGAGATTCAATTGTATTGAAATTACCGACCAATCCTTCGCACACATACGGCATCCTCCATCGCTCAAACCATTTTTTAACATGTAAACCTATGGGGTAACCATGGAGGCTGACCAACTATTTTTAATAACCATGGTTATTAAAAATATTGAAATGTTTTAAGCATGGTTACCGAGAATTTTACAGGAACAATTGAAGTTTATGAATGCAATTCGACCAATCAGATGGCTGGATTTCTTAAGTGAGGTATATAAAACTAATCAGTGCCTATTATTACATTTTAAACATACCCTATCATCGGTGTGCTTGCGTTTATGTTTATCATTAGGTGAACTGTCACTTTGGTGATGATGAGATGAATTTCCAAAGCCATCCAGCTTGCTACTATCCTTCTTCTTGTTCCGAGAGAAAAACGAGAGCTTCCCTTTCTTCATCTGCAAATTGGCAATAAAAATATAAACAAAATATTCAATCAGCAATACCGGTATTGATGATGCTTTGTGTGTTATAATAATAATAATAATTTTAATCTTTTAAAGTCCACTCCAAATTTTATTAAGTTAAACCGAAAATGAAAATTCTTTTTGCCCAATTGATCATGAGCCCGGCAGCCACTGAGCATCATCGCCAGGTCGACGTTGCTCTATCCCCTTATTGTTGAACGCCAAACAAGGTAGCAGCAACTCCCATCTTTTAACGTCTTTTGGTATGACGCGGCCGGGGTTCGAACCCACGACCTCCCAGTTGTGAGGCGGACGCTCTACTGACTGAGCCAACTCACCGGTATAAGTATAGGTCTTGTTATCATCTTTTACAAAGGGTAGAAGAATTGAAAGAAAAAATGAAGGAACAGAGCTACCAAAATTTCATATCATGCTCACATGGTTTATAATTAAAGGTCAGAGTTATATCCAGTTGGAAGTTGTAAGCGCCCAAAGTTTACACTATTGATTACACTTGTCTTCTGCACTACCTGTCCCTAATTTTCATTTCCTCAGTTTGATAGTCATGTCAAAGTTGTCGTACAAAATATCCTATATTGACAACAAGCTGTTCAAAAAGTAAAGAAGTAATTAGACATAAGAGCAATCAGCCCACACCACAAAGTGTCAACCATGACGACTCCACTGACCTGACTTCCAAGGGTGGCCTTATCGCTGTGTTTACGAGCAGGGCAGGGTGACCTTCTTGCATAAGGGTCACCTTGTTTTTTCTTGTGGCGTGTCTGTTTATCTATCAGCCTTTAATATATCACCATTTCCCTTGGGGAAACGGTGGGGGAGTTACATAGCCAGTGCTAGTAAAATCCATGCTTAAAGCAAATTAATAATGTGTAAGTGGTGGAGTAATAAAGTTTCGTAACTAAAAAAAGATGTTGTCAAATTTCAGGAGAGTGAAAAACCTTCCATGATTCAAGAGCATTGAAAATCTTCCTTATGTGTAAAGGTCGCCTGTGGCGTTACTTTTTGGAGATATGCATTTCACAAGCTTATCAGAACATCAACTTAGCTACTAAATTGTCAGACATTGAGTTACAAGGTTTTATCACCCTACTGACAGTATGCATAATAACATGAGGCGAATAGGGAGGTTTCTGCAAACATCATGTCAAGAACTTGGAATGAAATAGATGTAGATTGAGCTTACCCTATGTGCTCCAATGATGAGAAGTGCTGCATCACGCTGGTCGGTCTGTCGGGCTACATCCAGAGGAGTCTGATTGCTCTGCATACAGCAAAGAAATGAACAAAAACAACATTATTACACTTTGATCCCACAATGTGACTCGAGCAGTAGGAATGCCAAGTCCTACTACCTCTGTCTTGTTGCTTTAAAGGCATCGTTTAAAAATCTGAGATGCATGGCCCTACGTGTTATCAGCGTATGTAATATGGTGTAATATTGAAGCCCTTAAAAAATTGCGCTTCAAAATGATCATGAAGTGCCTCAAAAAAGTAAAAATCTTTGTGTGACCAGTTTTTATCATACTCATTTTCCCCAATAGACTGTAGTATTATAAAAACCGTTAGGAAAACTAAAAATGAAATTTCGATTTCCAAACATAAATATCTTGAAAATCAGACAGGCAACCAGCTTGTAAAAGTCATGGGAAAGCTAACTGACCCAAAGGTTTATAATTATGATTGCAGCATGAGCTAAATACAGGATTTTTTCCAGAATATGAGGCAATGTTTAATACCAAGTCACTTTAATAAACCCATTGAACATAAAATCCAAATTTTTGTATAAGAAAACTTTCCTTGCTTAGCTGTTTTTACATTGTTGCATATTTTGATCTCATAATGTGACTGGAGCAGTTGACTACCGGTAGTCATATTTGACCTGCTGCATCCTACTACCATTGTCTTGTTGCTTTTAATAAACCCATTCAACTCCATAAAATCCTCATTTTTATATAAGACAAATTTCCTTGATACACTGTTGCCCTAAAAAAATTTGAATAATTTTTGTTCACCTCTTTTCATGAAGCAATTGTGAGAATAAGATTTTATCTCCTCAGAACATTATTGAGCAATCTAAAGATTCATATAAATTGATCAAAAAAGTTGAGAGAAGATATGAATTCTTTCTGGTGAATTGTCTTTCCCATTAGTTGCTACAAAACTGTGGAACCAGCTACCTACTGCTGTGCAGACGGCCTCATCTGTTGACCAGTTCAAGAAATTACTCAAGTCACATCGATTCTGCTAGAAAGTATTTATTTCCAGCCTACATATTCTTTGCTGATCTCTGAGAAGGGACTAACTTTTGGTTATAAGCGGCCCAATTGTGGAGCGGTGTGTGCAGCGCTTTGTAACCGCAAGAAAAAAGGCGCTATATCAAGTATCTTTTGGATTGGATTGGATAAACCATCATTTCATGAAAAGAGGCAAGAACAAATATTCCAACTTTCGAGGTAATAGTGTAAGTTGATCCTACCTTGTTGCGTATCTTGACCTCACACAGTGACTCTAAGAGAAGTCTGGCAATCTTGAGCTTGCCAAGTCCAGCTGCGATGTGCAGAGGTGTGTTACCGTCCTGAGTGCATAAAGAAATCAAAATCAAACAAGCCATTCCTTTGAACTTCCATTTTAATAACATAAGCAGATGGGCTAAAAGCCCAGGTAAAGCCTCGATCGCAAAAGCCATTACGAACTGATACGAACACCGTACGAACAATTTTCAGACAATGGAAATTCGGGAAGACAATGGAAAAACAGGGAGATTCGTACAAAATAATTGTTCGTACCAACCTTTGTGACCGCTGCATAATAGCAATAGTGGTTTTGAGTGCCTTGAGCACCCCCTTTGATGTTTATGCGGCATATAAATGTTGTTGTTATCATCATCGTTGTCGTCATCGTTGCCATCATCATTACAATCATTATCACCAGGTATATGTGTCTAGTGATATTAGTAAAATGCTTTGCAGAAAATCTTTCTTCTGCTGACTTCATGAATGATGTCAAAAGTGGATAATGATAATAACAAAGAACGTGGATCAAATCATGGACCACAAAATAAATTGATGACAACAAGAATGACATTAGCTGCGGTTGACGAAATGTTAAATAATCAGAATAATCATCATAAGGTAAATGACAGTCAATAAGTAAGATTAACCTACTGAATATGAAGCCTGGGAGAACTCAGGCTAGGCTATTGTTCGGAGACAGAAGGGCATCAACTCATATACCTTAAAGGTAATACAAAGTTTTGGTATGGGGTCATGAATTTGGTTCAAATAAACATATTGGAAGCATATGCGATTTTACAATATTCAATGATCGTTGTCGCAGTTGACAACGTGATGACATTGACAATAATAAACTCGTTATGTTGTATAGCTCCCTCTCAAGACAACTGATATTACTTTAGCTATAAAACAATGTTTCTTGACTACAATCGACCGATTTGCTATTCCCGTTTATAAATTATATATCAGAACTGCATATTCTGAGATTTTTATGGAAGCAGCTACCATGGAATGGCCTTAGGCGCGATTCAAAATATTTGAAATTTACCGGGGGCATCAGTAAATTTTTGATTATTCAATTTCTCAAAAGCAGAAGTGTTTTAGGGGCTAATTTTTTCTAGTGCCAATAAAACATCCACATGGGCATCCAAATATACCAAAATTTCAAAGAATTACTATCCATCCATTTTTCAAAATTACCCAAAACTTTACATTACCTTTCCCTTCTGGCTCTCAACAGACATCATCCAAAGTCAAATACACGAGTGAGTACCAAGGCTGCTATTCAATTCAACACTTATCATGGCACAAATGTGTATATTTTAACCAATTTTCGGCTTAGAAAAATTACTTTGCCAACTTCCATATTCAGTTGAAGATTGTGGCAAAGTATAATACTCGTAGTTCTTGATAAACATTAAGAATATTGAGCTTGAGCCGGTGCTCCTAGACATAAATTCTGTAACCCCCCCCCCCCACACTCAATATTTCAAATCATGTAGTCCCATACCTTATTTTTCATGTTGATATCACACTCTGCACTAATGAGAATCCTTGCACATGTTATCTGGCCATAGAGGCATGCAATATGAAGTGGTGTTTCTCCAGACTGTATCAAAACAACAAAACATATGAAAGGATGAAAGGGTGAAAAAAGATAAGAGAATGCAGAAGGAAGGTACAACTTTATTCATCTATTCATTTACATGTACTTACATAGTACCATATTTGCCGGCGTTAAGGCCGCACCCCCCCCCATACTGCCCTCTCCTGCCGCAGTTGAACAGTCGTGTATTGCGCCATAGCTGGGCGCGCACGGGCTGGCTAGGACTGAGGTTCCTTTAGCGATGGCATGAACTTAGATCTAGATCTACTGGTAGTTTTTGTTTGAAAAATAAGTTATGAAGTTTATTCATGAGATTGACAAAACTTCATGTCAACAATATAACACAAAATGGTCGGTAAGATGTGTGGAGTTATTCTAAAAATGTCCTGTACCTTTGTAGTTTTTGTACTTTAACTGGTATAGTCATTGTAGTCCCATATGTACGAATACGTGCTGTTTTGACCACCGATATTTTAATGTTGTTGCGCATAGGCCGCACCCAGACTTTTTGATATTTTCTCTTCCAAAAATACTGCGGCCTTTACGCCAGCAAATACGGTATACAAAAAATCAATCATGTATTAAACTGTTGTGCATTTTTATCAAGGGAATATTTAGTCAAGTCCAAATACACCTTGTTATTTCTGCTTTAATCTATTAGTGAGGACCTTTGTGTCCATAAGTGCAATGCCACTGGCACGTTTCATAAAAATGTACATACATGTAGGATACATGGATGTATCATTAAACTTACAATTATGTCATTAAATTCTATGCCCGAAATGTATTTGTACACCATCTCCGCTCCATGAAGAGTATACTTCCATGGGTATAAAATTAAAGTTTATCTTATGCTACTCCTGGATAAAGAGTGGCAGACACAAGACAATGCCTTTTCAATGTTCCCGGACACATGCTTTAAAGGCACACTGCCATACTTGTAGCTACTTGCTCCCTCTATATAGAAAACTTCCCCAATCGGTGCCTGTTGGTCCCCCATGATCCTCTTTTTCTTATGTTAAATGAGAGCTGAGTTAATGAGACCAGTGACTGTCACAGTGACCTCGATGGCTCTCTGTGTGGTCTAATCCCTTCTGGCCCAGTAGTGGTGACGGTCTTTAATTGCTCCATGGTCAATATCCTTCACTACTCAAATTCCTAAATTCAGTCCTGGACTAAACACTACAGCTAACTGTCACCTAATTTAAAATCCAATAGTTGACTTTTAGCCGAGCAATTATACAATAAAAGGAACCATCTGGAAGCAAAAGGTAAGGCTGACTATGCAGGACATAAGAATAAGCGAGTTCGTAATTAGGATTTGGGCATAGGCAGATAAAGGTCATTCCTTCCCAAAATTGTAAAACCATTGAGACGATTACTGGTATCTTGCTCATGAAAGTTATGTAATCAGTATTCATTTATGCACCGGCAGTACATTTATCTAATACACAGGTAGCAGTATTCTTCTCAAGAGGCAAACAAAAGTTATTCATAAAGCACCTCCATTTCTTTGGCAGTGATTATTCTGAATTGCACAAGTGGGACGTACAGTATCAATCATGTAAAAGATCTGTGGATATTTTGGGGTCATGCGTTCCAAAGCTATTTACGAACTGGCTTATTGTTGCACACTGTGAAGTTTGGGTATCATTAAAATGATAAGAAACTAACTTCCATCTTGCTGAAAATCAATTCTACTGTACACAGAAATGTGTACACTGTATGTGTGCCACACACATGTGACATACAAATTTGGTTCAAGCTTTTCAGCTAGTTCTCTTCAAATTTCGAACATGAGAACATTTGAAGTACGATCCTTTTCAGGAGGCATTTCTTCTATGACATTCTTCCAAACTAACATACAAAGAGTGAGAAAGCTCACAAGTTATCTCATTTACCCTAAACCTGGGCTCCATCTTATAAAGACTTACGATGGATCAGAATCGTAAATCTTGATTGGAGGACTTTGATCAATCACAATTCCTCCAATCAATCGCAGATTTGCAGTCTCCCATATCTTATGTGCATAGTTGCGATCGATATCAATCGCAAATAAGTTGCGATTAATATCAACTCTTTATGAGACAGGGCCCAGAACTCAACACTGTGTTCACTGAACTTACACTGTTTTTTACATCTGGATGAGAACCAGCTTTTAGCAGTATTCTAGTGCTCTGATTGTGACCATGCTGGCATGCAAGATGGATAGCCCTCTCGCCATTCTACAAAGAAAACAAAAGATGATGAAACACACTTAATGATATACCTGTATCACTATTAAACCAGTCAGCACAAGATGTATATGGTGTCCCACGCATTACCAATTACTATTAGTGAGTTCTGCACTTGAATTGACAAATGTGTCATATCACTTTGATTCATTGCAATAGTCAGATACTGGGCTTACAGAAAGAGTTTGTGAGGACTCTCGTGTTACTCTAGCTAGCATTGCTACGGCTTGTTGTCAATAAATGGCTGGCTTTACGTCTACTTTCTGGCAGCCAATCACAGCTTGTTTTAATACTCTTCTTGATACAACACGCATGTAAATATAGCTAAATAAAAGTCTACCAAATTTTTTTTTAATGAAAAAAGAATGCACCAAGGCAAAGTCTGAAAAACAATTTCATCAAAACGTGTACATACAATTTAATGAATTATGATATCTTCTAAAGAGAACCAAAAATTAATATTTTCTTTAAGATCAAAGAAGATATCACACAATTGCTGCCTCCATGAAATAAGTTTGTTTTTTTTGTAATTAAAAAATTGACTAAATCTAATAAACATGAAAGTAATAGAAAGGAAATGAATTTTTGCGTACACCGCATGTATTTGCATTTGCAGCATAACCAACACCACAAACTCGTCAAAGGTCAGTGTTTTTTGTAATGAAAATCGCCTGTTAGCTAATCATCATCAAGAACAGGTGGAAGCCGAGCAGAGCTCTATTACTCCGGTAACAAATTTCCATATTTTTGGTTAAATTCTTGCTTCGTCAAGTGCGGGAATGGGTGATTACAAATGCATTTGAGGTTTACAGCACTCTTCATGCAGGCAAATAGATGCCAATTCAGACTGGGTGATATCAATATCGTATTTTATATTATCACCTAGCGCTTAAAAGGTGAAGTCCACCCTGATGTTGGTTATAACAGAATCAGAAAAATGAGGAACAGGTCAGTGAAATTTTGAGCAAATTCTGATAAAAAACAAGAAAGTTATGAATGTTTGAACTTGCGATCAATCAAATACAAATTGGCAACTCCATGACGTGTTTTGCGAGCTCACCTCCTATTTGCTCTGTACTCAAAAAATTAAAAAAATGTTTAGTTTCCCTCCAGAAAGTTTTTATTTATACATGCACTTTGATTGTAAAATGTTTTATACTGGTTGAATAAATGAAATGAAATGATATAATTATTGCATACATACAACCCCTGTATGAAAACAATTGATTCTGTCATCTATAACAGACCTGTTGCTCTCATTTTTCTGCTTCTATCAAATCCAAATTAATATCAGGGTGGACTTCCCCTGTAATGCTACCTCTTCACGAACATGTTAAATACATGTACATCATATTTTGAGAGCCAGAAGGCTGTTAAGGTAATGCCTTTCTGCCTCTCAGCATACCGGTGTGTTGGCTCAGTCAGTAGACTGTCCGCCTCACAACCGGCAGGTCGTGGGTTTGAACCCCGGCCCCCCCCCCCCCCACTCAGTGTTATTTAGGGTACGCATATGCGTGTTCCAAGCGACCCCCCCCTTTTCAGCAAAAGTCTGGTATGTAAAGTCAATACGGGTCGACCTTTTTCTTTTGTTACGAGTTTAGGAACACGCATGGTATCCCTCCGTTCACGGAGTGGGGGGGGGGGCCGGGGTTCGAACCCCGGCCGCGTCATACCAAAAGACGTTAAAAGACGGGAGTTGCTTGTTTGGCGTTCAACAATAAGGGATAGAGCAATGTCGATCTGGCGCTGCTCAGTGCCGGGCTCACGATCAATTGGGCAAAAAGAATTTCCATTTTCGGTTTAACTTAATGAAATTTGGAGTGGACTCTAAAAGATTATTATTATTATTATTGAAACGTTGAGGTGTGTTGTATACTACCTTGTTGCCGGTGTGAATGTTGGCCTTTCCAATCTTGATAAGCACATCCATAGACTGACTGAAGCCCTTCATAGCACCTTCATGCACACACGTGTTACCATTCTGTGGAGAAACAATTCAAACATGATGGTTAGACATGTATTAATATGTGTTATGGTGTCAGGACGCTCCACAAAACATGAAAAAAATGTCTAATAGACCATTTTCATAATTTATTAAAGAAAAAGACCAGTTATGGTCTTGCGATCGATTGTGAAAGAAATGTTGTGGAATCGATCAGAAAAGGTTGATCATCCAGCATATAAGTATTGATGTGTACTGCAAGGTTCTGGCATCATCAAAATGATAAGAAATTTGGCCCAGTCTTGGTAAAGTTTACAAGCACTGTACACAGAAAGATATATATGGGACTATGCACACATGCGCGACATGTGCGATGTATCTATCACGTTAAAATAGATATAATAATTGACCAAATATATCAATTAGTAGGCAGTTTCTCTGCAAAATTTGTATGATCACGTATTAGTCAAAACATATTCTTTCACATGATTGGTAGTAAGAGCTTCCATTTCATTTTTTCAGAGGGGGGGGGGGGGCGTTTCCAAAACTGGTCTTTACCATTAAGTGCTTCTTACAAATCATTTCATCCATCCATTACAAATAATTGTATGTCAATAGTCAGATTGCTAGGTAGGACAAACATTATCACAGTTTACCCAACAAAAAGTAACGCATGCACTTCGCATTTTGACTATTAATACAGAATTATTAATAACAGGTGAATGAAATAATGTGTAACAAGGCACAAAGATTTGTGCATTAAATTTGATTACATCATAAAATTGGCATATTGCAACTTGCAAGGAATGTCAACTAACAAGTGCAAATGCCTGCTTGAACAGCACCTGTTGTAGGAATTCAGACAAGTGAAGTTATGCAGGAGTACTGTAACCCTATTTCACATTTATAAAAAAGGAGAGGCAGCCCTTTGGACACTCCAAAAGAGTCACTTTTAAAGGGATAGTTGAGTTTGGTTGCAGAGTGAGAGGGCGCTACACAAAATATTTTTTTTGTGAGATATATGACAAACTATTTTCAATGATGAAATCATTTTTGTTTGAACAAAATTAGTTCAGAGACGGCTGAATTATCCATAACGATCTCTAATATTTGTGGTGCCCCACAAATATTCAATAATTTGAACTGGCCGTTGAAAAAACGGGATAGCGCCTTAAAGGCCCACTGCACTACTTGTAGCTACTTGCGCCCTCTATATAACAACCAAAGCCTAATCGGTGACCATTGGTCCCCCATGATCCTCTTTTTCTTATGTTAACTGAGAGCTGAGTGACCTTGCAGAGCGCTCTAATCCCTCCTGTAAACTATGGCAGATAAGCTTTAAATGTTTTATTCCAGCCAATGCCGATGTTGGCTTTTTTGTGTTGGTTATAATACGCACAACCAGCCAGCCCATGTATTGTTATTATTAATTAATTAATGAATCAACGGTCACCATATATTTTTTTGAGAGTGGAGCTGAATTGGTATGACCGTATTGGCTAAATTTCACACATTTTGGGGTCTAAAATTACCTTCATAGCAATTTTTGGTCCTAAAAGAGCACTAGAAATGTCATAGATAAGAATAAGAGCAATAACCATGCACTTTGAAGGCATTTGCGGTCTGAAACGAGAACTTAGCTTCATGAATAGCTACCGTTTCCTCTCCTTTGAAAAGAGTACTGGTACTTAATTTCATCTGTGTACCATGGAATGTACCATTGGTGCATAGATGTATATTGCTATGGCAGTGATTATTCTAAAATGCACATAGTGGGAAGTCTCCATGTGTAAAAGATCTGTGGATATTCGGGGGTCATTTGTACAAGTGCTATTCCCTAAAGTTACTTATTAGGTCACCTTTTCTTTTCTCGATAATAAATATTGGAAGTAAACGATTCTCAAAGATTCTAAATTTACTTAGCATGGACCTGGCCCAATGGGGACATATCTTGCAGAAGAATAAGGTGTTTATTCATCATTTATCATTGATCTACACCAGGTGAAGTAAATGGGGACCTGGTAGGAATTTATTCCTTGAAACCCAGAGCGCGTAACAGCTGCACTGCTAAAGCCTGGGTAATTATGCAGCGCTGTAGAGTGCTTAGAGACTTCTGATAGAGTAAGTGTTAGGTGCCATTATTTTACTCAAACATTCAAGCCTTTTCGTTCATAGAAAACTAAGATTCATTATCAACTATTATTGTCAATTCCAAGTTACCCCAGTGTAGCTAGCCAACCATGCTAGTGGCTACACATACATGTACATAGTCTATGATCAGACATTGTACATGTATAACACTAACTTACAGTACAAGATGTCTGCCTTGCCAGACTAAGCATTGACCTTCGACCCAACCCAGAGTTCTCACCTCCCCCTTTGAAATATCAACAAACTATCATTTGCGGTCGCTCCCTACAATGGCCCTGTTTCAACACCTCTGACACCCTATACCAGGACACAACAGTGGGTGAAAACCAACAATGCATGAAAGGCAGATCAAAAGCTTTGGTTGTTTTCTATAGGGAATCATTCACATTTGAGTGGAATTTCATAGCCCCCCTCGAGGGTTTCATATTCCTTTCATCGAAAATCCCCTCAATCAGAAAATATTTCAATAGAGAAATTACTGGAGTGCTGTTACAGTATTAAGAAAAGAAAACCACTTCCAGTTGGAAGGAGGGGGGGGGGGGGGGGGGGGGTCTGTGTCAAAGCCTTTGAAAGATGTCTATCTCTATCATAATGTAACATTTGTGGTATTTGATGAAGCAATGTTGGTTTAAAGGAATCAAAATATTTGACTGCATAAAAGAACCACATATTGATATTGATTGGAGGAAGAGCAATTTACCCCCAAAAAGTACAACTCCCTGCCCTATCTTGATGAACCATCAGCAATATGTCCGTCTACCACAAACTGTAGCAGGTTTATGTTCCAAAGGCTTTTAGGAATTATGATTGACTTGCCCTAAGGAGCAATGAACCCATATACCAAGTTAATTACTGCATATATCTACATTATATCATTGTTTTTTTTAATGGTACAAAAATTTCCCTTAGTTAAAACTTAGTTGTTGTAATATAAGTTTGTTTCTTTGGTGTTTCTTAGCTGTAAAATAAGTTAGTTTCTTCTCAACTGTATTTCTTCCATGCACCAAAAGGGGCCATTTCAATTCCAGTTCAATTCCAATTCATTGGTCCAAAAGGAAATTTGTTGTGTTATAATAACTAACGTTATAAGAAAAACTGTATCAATTGATTGTCATTGTTATTCTAGTTACATTAAAAAACTTAATTTGTCCAACGAAATTGGTCAAGTCCAAGGTACTCCTTAATCCGTCATTTGCTGTCCCATATTTTATCAAGAAGTAAGGAAGCTGAACGACAACTGACATCAAAAGTGACATGTTTCCTTGATGCCTGTCTGGTCCAAGCTCTAGAAGGGTTATACACCGGATAGATTTATCAGAAATGGCACAAAATATCTTGGACTAAAGACTCCCTACTTACAAGGTTGCCAATTTATTAAGTACATTACTTCATCTTTGGCATTTAAAATGAAGTAGAACAGTGGATGTAGCCAGTAACGAATGGGACAAAATACCTTGGGCCTGTCCAATTACCAAAGACTTCCTGCGTACACTTAAAATTATAAGGTTGCAAAAAAAAACACATTAAAAAACAAAAATTATAAGGTTGCCAATTTGCATATACTTACTCCATCTTGGCCGTCCACATCGCACCCCTCGTCGATGAGCGCCCTCACAGCCTCCACGTGTCCATCTGGTGCTATAGCTTTGTGCAACGCAGTACAGCCATACTGGGGACACGTAATAAAAGAATAAATTCAGCTGAAAGATGGTTTCAAGTTCTGGGGAAAATCACCAATCCTTAATTTACCCACTTACATGTACATGTAGTTCTAACATTGAAAATACAAGATACATTCGCTTGGCATTAACAATTGTACACCTACATTGTAGATTACCAAATATTCTAGACTGGACTAAAAACATGTACTTGAGAGCAAACAATTCTTATTCATTCCTTTGAGTAAAACTGCATTTACAGCAAATGCCAATAGAATCTAGAAACAAATGCATATTAAGTTGAAAGCAACAATGGACTCTTATACATGACAAAAATGTGGAAACAAATGCCTTTATATGACTGGGAGAATAGAAGATTGAAATAATAAGCAATTGATGTTAAAAGCATCCTTCTCATAAAATTAATTTGTTTATTTTCTTTCCTGAACTCATTATTGTTCCATGTAGGCCCTACATGTAGGTGTCAAGTGCTAAAATACCTTTAAAGAGACTAGCTGCATCGTTTTGATAAGGTCACTTTTTTTACGGTGCTCTGAACAGTAATTTTTGTTTACAGTACATCTTTAAAAATCTTCTCAACTTGTCAACACTTTGAGATACAACTGACAGAATGAAATATTCTTGACAATAAATTTCAGTGAAAAGAGATGGTAATTTGATAAGTAATTCCACTTACTGTGTCCACTTTGTCTAGCTCACACCCCCTTGAAATGCAGACTCTGAGGGTCTTGACTTGCCCATAGTGTGCAGCATAGTGCAGAGCTGTTCTCCCATACTGTGAACGGGATGGAAAGAAGAGACAGGGAGAGGAAGAGAGGAGGGAAGGAGATGAAGAGAGAAGGGAAGGAGAGGAAGAGAGGAGGGAAGGAGAGGAAGAGAGGAGGGAAGGAGAGGAAGAGAGGAGGGAAGGAGAGGAAGAGAGGAGGGAAGGAGAGGAAGAGAGGAGGGAAGGAGAGGAAGAGAGGAGGGAAGGAGAGGAAGAGAGGAGGGAAGGAGAGGAAGGAGAGGAAGAGAGGAGGGAAGGAGAGGAAGAGAGGAGGGAAGGAGAGGAAGAGAGGAGGGAAGGAGATGAGGAGGCGAGAGGCAAGAGAGAAAGGCAAGAGAGAGAGAGAGAGAAGGGGAGAGAGAGAGGGGGAAGAGAGAGAGGGCGAGAGAGAGAGAGAGGCAAGAGAGAGAGAGAGAGAGAGAGAGAGGGGAGAGAGAGAGAGAGAGAGGGAGAAAGAGAGAGACAGACATATTAAGAAAGAGAGGAAGACAAAGACAAACCAACGAAAAAAGAGAAGAGAGAGAGAGAGAGAGAGATGGGGGGGGGGGGATGATCAGAGACAGAGACAAACAGAGACAGAGAGAGAATTTATCAAATGAGAGTGTGTGAGAGAAAGAGAGAGAGAGGAGATGAATAAAAAAAATACTGAAAATCAGAGTCTTCCTATAAACTATTGCAATAACAAGATATCAACATTTAATCTCAATGTTACAAAAGTACATGAAGTAGATCTGTAGGTGTATATCAGTATGTGGAATTCCCGAGTGCTAATCTTTTCAAACAAACCATCTCATATCCATGACAACCGGTGTAACATAATACTGTGAAATGCCCTCAAATCACTTAGCCCTGTGAACCTGCAATGTAAGACCACTAACAAGTTTACTTGCTGACTAGAAGTTCCATTAACTGTGTAGTGCAAAGTGCAAACAGCTGATAAATAACTTCCAGGCTATATTTCATGTACAGTACATGTATATCAGATGTACTGTACATGTTTATATGTACATGTATACTGTTGGTCTTTTTATGTACAGTTTATAGGTTCATATTCATTGCTCAGCAGCTGACAAATTTTCGATGAAATGAAATGAAAACAATTCTTATTATGAATAAGTCTAAATCTTTCAACAAACTTATCTTCATCACCAAAAGAAACTGCACCAAACAATAAAATGCCAGCAAAACTGCAAAATCACATCTGTAGACAGAGGCTAAGCATAGGTCCAGCCATGGGGGAGGTGGGGGAGGTGGGGGAACTGGGGCATTGCATTTTCATTTTATATATTTTCTTTCCCCATATGACTTTCCTTTCTTCTTCTGTATTTTGTCACTTGCCTAGGGGACACTAGCCTATAATCTAGGCGGAGTGCCGAGCGTTTTTCTTTGCTGCTAGACTAACCTTAAGCAGAACGTCTGATACGGGGGGGGGGGGGGGGGGGGGGGGGGGGGGGGGGGGGAGGACATGGGATTATAGGCTAAGGGGACACATGACCCCTCTGGTCCCTTTAATAGCTAAACCCCTGGCTGTACACACATCATTGTGATGAAGATCACTACCCCCATCTACATGTATGTACATGTACATGTATGTTTGCAATCTTGAAGAAGTTGTTTTGAAACAAACTATCATCTTTACTTTTAATTAGCTGAGCATCATGGATCTTTAGGTATGCTGACTATGCTCTGACTCTATCATGTATATTTGAGGAGTTTGAGAAAACAAAGACCACTATTTGCATGTTGTTTTTATCAATGGACAATTACCGGTACAACAAAGCAAATATTGGACAAGATAGTACAATACTAGTATGTACCTTTTCTACATGTGGTAGTATACAAAATATACCTTCAAACGTACATGTCGTTATTAAAGAAGAAGGGATGCTTAACTTTAAAATTTGTGCGTGGGAGTTGCAAATGATAGGTTTAGCACATAACCTGCAGTAATTAGTAAATTTACAAACAAATGTGACATGACAGGCGGACAGAAGAAAGTAAAAACGTAGAAAGTCAGAAAACACTGTAAGCTTTCTTACTTTTATTAAATACAGTTTTAGATTGTTAGGTCACTACTGATCCACATTTAAGGATAATTTCTGACTCTGGAGCATGCATTTATTCCCTGTAAAAAAAATAATTATAAAAATAATTCCTTTGCAGTTTGCATGGAAAATTTTGAAATTTGAAAGGCTCAATTTTTAAAACCAACATACAATGTATGTCACGGTACAAATACAGTTGACCATAGCCTATAAAAGAGCGCATCATTTAGTCTAACGTCTAAATTGTTCTGACATGTCTACAGACTACATGTATCTACAGACTATCTACAATTTCTTCCTAATGCCAAAACCAACTTGGAGTAGAGGTCACGGCATGTCAGTGTGGGGTCAAAGGTTAGAGGTATGTTTGCACACACAGCAAGATACGTCCAAATAGTTTAGAAAGAGAGCCCTATACTCCAGGCAAGACTGAGAGAAGATTCATGCAGAGATACAAAGTGCCTAAGTACTTAACATCACAGGGCGCTAGCAGCGGGACGCACAGAGGAACAGGACAGAGAAGGAAGCTGGACTAATTTGCACACAATTTTGTCCAGCATCAGTTTCCTTACTCCTGCAAGTACTCAGTTTGGATACCAGTCTATTTGACACACATATCTTTTTGAAACCCTAAAGATATCATTAGCATAAATAGTATATATTTTTCAAAACTACATATACCGGTACCCAAATAGCTTTGTTTCAAGATAACCCTACAGTATAACAAATACAAAGAAAGATGAATTATTTAATACATAGAAGGCATAGTCCTACAATCTCAGTTTGATGTATATGTAGGCATGCCTAAACAGAATATTCACATTATCACAACCTGAATTTTGATAAAATATGTGAAATTCATATCACAGAAAAAGGCCCATCATTAACAAATTGTGAAAGTTTCTAGTTTCATAGTCAAATGTTAAAACCTAGGGCCATTAAAAAATATATACATGTACATGTTCAGCGTCCCCGCACGCTTCCATTTTTTTAAATAAATATTTTATTAATTTTTTTATTTATTTATTTTTTTAAAGAAAAAAATCATGATAAACACTGCTAAAACGATCTATTTCTGATTTTTTTTTTTTTAAATGCCTGTGGCCATCTTGAAAAATAACCAGATTGTCAGGGAAAATGTACTGAGCGACCATTTTGAGTGGCCAGTTTGAAGAGAAAAAAAGTGCCTCCTCCTTCCTATTTTCAAAATAACATGGATCCTATTTAAAGTACAATATAAATGTACCTTATCAGCTTCAAAGGTTGCCCCATGCCGAAGTAGCTGCTCGATTTCCTCCCAGTTTCCTTTGCCAGCGGAGCTTCTCAAGCGCTCGTTAAGTGCGCTGATCGATCCAGAGGCCATTTTATATCCCTTCTTCTTCGCAGGGCTGGGCCAGCCCCCGTCTGTTTAGCCCTTCTCCACTATTCTCCCTAGCCTAGGACTTCAGCAGAAAAGCTACAGGAATACACACTGTGCGGGTCCAAGCATCACGATCTGCAAGAATAAAAGACACAAAACTTTGGTAAATGACTGTTCTAAAAATAGTAGAAATTGATCCCCGGTACATTTAGTAGGGAATACAAAATAATTTCAGATATTCCATGATCAGGGCTACAGGAAAAGCGAAAATAGATTTTAAATGTTACTGTGTTATCTCACAATGAGGTATATTAATAGTGTATTATACCAATATCTAATTGTATGCAACATTTTAAAAAGTGGTATCAGCACATTTTGAAAACAACTAGTGAATGTGAATGGTCAATACTGTAGGGAGAAACAAAAGTAAAAACAACTTTTCACAAACACTTGGCAACATGCAGTGACTTGGTTTTACCTAGCAAAAATAATACACAGGAGTGGCGAGCAATTTACCTCTGGTGAACTGACAAAAGAGCTCTGGTAAACAAACAAAATAATACTTAAATATCACTGTGAGAAAATCACAGTTATACTACACCAAATCCTCACAGGGCATCCGTTAACAAAAAAGTACTGTTTACACGTCATCATGAGATTAAGGACTCCGCATATAAAACAATTAAAACATTTACTATCAAAAGGATAAAGTCCACTTAATATACATGTCCAGTACATGCACATGTAGCATACATTGTGTACATACCTGTACATGCAAAGTAGTATCTGACATAAATGTAATTTTGATATTTTATTAACATCTATTGATACGCTGTACATGTACTGGAATAAATATTGTACAACCTCCCCAGATTTGAGGCAGTAGTGGGCCTCACAAGAAGAATGCTGTACATGGAGGGTTTACATTCTAATGGGCAGATTGAAGATGCTACTGCCTTTATAACAAGTCATTAATCACCAGACTAGCTGTCAAACAAACCCTGACCATGGTTTATAGTATCAGCAGATCAAAGTCACGTTCAAGTCATGTCTGTCTGGCTATTATCAAAGTTCACCAAAAACAGAAGAGATAGTGCTCATAATTCTCTGGCAACAATTGCTCAAGGGCTGTGGACAGGTTCTGACAGGGAAAAAAATTATTTAAACAATTTGGGGGGCTACTTTTCAACCTTGCTTGCATGAAAATATCACCCTTTAATTTGTTTTGCATTGAACTCTATGCACATGACTTTCTGGGCTCTTTTTGGCATTTTGGGGGCTAATTCGCCTGAGCCCCTGTGTATTTTTTTCACTGCAGGTTCAGGATGCCCCTGAATATAACCAGTGTGTATATAATTCTTTATGAAAAGTCTCCAGCATCCTGACAATGGAAAAAGACATCAATTGAATCAATGTACATGTAACTTCTTGTCAACGATGGATCTTTTATCAGTGGCTGCATTTGTACTGCAAGCAAAAAACTTCACCGGTTTGGCGGAGTAAATATTTGCTCTCAAAACATCGGTGAATCATTCTGGTATTTGGTGACATGTCTCTCCTTGCTTCTGTGCTAACACATACATGTACATGTTCATGTACAATACGTATGCAGGGCAGAAATAAGTAGCACATGTATGCGCAAAACTCACCAAAACACCAGAATAATCAAACACTAGCTGACAGTCTCTCATCTCATGAGTCTTTCCAGTAGTGTAAAATAAATGTCAGTAAAATGAAAGAATGGCTTTTCAAAATGGTTTCAGGGCTGTGTAAATGGGCCTGGTACCACAAAACATCTGTCACCTGATAAAACAGAAGCTTTCTCTTTGAGCCCCACTATACTACTTGTAGCTACATGTACTTGCTCCCTCTATATAGAAAACTTCCCCAATCGGTGCCTGTTGGTCCCCCATGATCCTCTTTTTCTTATGTTAGTTGAGAGCTGAGTTGATGAGATAGCCACCTGTCAGTGACCTTCCTGGGTGGTCTAATCCCTTCTGGCCCAGTAGTATCATGGTATATTTCCATGGTAGTATTGACGGTCTTCAATACAAATTTTGGAACATACATGTAAATAATAATAATAATACATAACATTTATTAGGCGCTTAATACTGATGTTTCTAAGCGCACAGTGTTCTGATTAAGAGAAGACTATAACCCGTAGAATTAAATTAGAAGAAAAAGCAAAAATACAAAAGTAACATAGATAAGGTAAGAAAAACAGTGGCAATCAACTAAATAAAGACAAATATGGTGCGCACCTCCATTGACCGACGCACAACTGCAATTTAAAATTTGAAAAGATAGGTTTTGAGTAGAGATTTGAATTGAGATACAGAGGGGGCGCAGTGAATAAAGGCGGGCAGTTTGTTCCAGAGAGCGGGGGCAATAACTGAAAAGGCGCGGTCACCATACCGGGTGTTAGTGCGGGGTCCAGGTGTTAACAGTAATGTGGAAGATGAACGAAGTGTTCGTGACGACGTACGGGAACGTAAGGATATGAGATCGGACATGTACATGTATGATCCTCTTGAAAATAGGAAATATTCCTTCAAGATTTGCACAACAGTTTCCATCAAATGTTTGTAAAATTTGTTAGCCATCAATGTGTAGAGATTTTTTACCAGTATTCTTAGCATGTAGCACAAGCACAGGCTCAAGGGATAATAGTTCAAGATGTAGGGATAATTCCAGATAAAGTGTCATATAACCTCCCAGAACTGAGAACAAAAGCCTCCATTTTATACCACACAGGACCTACATTGTACAATAAAGTGCAGAATGAACAGTAGCTTAATGACAGAGTAAACAAGCTCATTATGGGTAAATGGCCGATTTGTTTCCATCTGATGGGTTATTATAAAAATAAGCAAATATAAGCAATCACAGTAAAAACTCAAGTAGAGTCTTTCTATTTCAAATTATGTCACAGGGTCAATGAGCTACAAAACTCAACGTTTAGTCTGTTTGGAGCCAGAAGGGTATTATTTTGACACAGAGTTAACATATATACTATTAACAGAGGTGTTGTGGTCTAATGGATAAGTCACCTGACTGCAGATCACAAGGTACGGAGTTCAAGTCCCGGCCGCCGCGGCACTAATGTCGTTTGGCAAGACGTAACCGGGTAATCTACATTTGCCACTCTCCACACAGGTGTTAAATGGGTACCTGGTACATGTAGGATGCGAAAGTTAATGTGGTTTATAGATGAGAAAGTGTACACTTAAATGACAGCTGGCTGGAATGCTCCCCAGGGGGTAGGGAATGTATGTACATTGTGTGAGGGTAAGCCTGAATCTGATGACCCAGGTAATGATCTGTAAAGACACTTAGAGACATCATTGATGTATTAAGCGCTATAAAAGCGGAATATCATTATTATTATTATTTGCCACCGTTTCTATTTAGTCCTACACATGATAATAACAGCTATGTTTGTATCAAAATTAAGTCACATTGACAAAAAAAAAGTTGTAGATACCGGTACAGTTTATACCGTAACTAAATCATTAAAACTCTTACTTTAATTTAATAGTCTTACCAAGTTTGTACATTTTTTAATATAAGAAAAATTTATTTATGTTTCTTGAGAATGTGACAGAATGAAGCTTACATTGTATAACTAAAAGTTTTCAACAAAGGCCCTAATTCAACCAGTCAATCTTTCATTCTTGACTTTAATACGAAAAATACAATAAACATCAATTTCACAATGGGTATCAATGCAATAATTATGTAGTGTAAATGTACATGCAAACCCAAACTGTTCGTTGTGGTACCTCCTTGGTAAGAGAATTCCTATTAGAATTGAACATTACCTGCCTCCCATTTTGTTCCATAATGGCTAAATTCATTCACAAGTGATCCACAACTATTAACAGTTAGATTCCAATCTTTGCACGATGTTCTGATCCTGTAAAACAATCCATTAGCGTAGGTCATAATATGATTACACACCACTGCACTCTACTCTGAAGGCTGTGTGTTTGGATGCCACTTCACAAACCAAATAAATGGATCCCATTCCAGTTATCTCTTTTTATCCAAGTAGTCTAGAGAATCAGATCCTGTGAAACGCTAACGATGGTCAACGATTCCTCCTAGCTCTCCTACTTTACATCCAGTGGATCCCACATGGAATGCATGTGGCCAACACTTGTCATGTATCTCCATGGTGTTATACCATGTACATGTAAACTGGTTTATCTATTGGCAACCTTTCTCAACCTTTTAAATTGAGCTGCACAAACTTCATTTACCCACATAGGGTCTGCAAATCCAGAATACCACGTAGCGTGGTGTTTTCATCACAGGTACTACACACCAAAGCATGGGTACGCTATCGGATCAATGAAGTGCAAGAGCCTGCTATTGTTATCCTTTGAAGTCAAGCTTTGGGCTCAAGGAGCAAGAAAAAGACTATTGTTCTGCTCTGACTGTGATGAGTGTTTGGCACAAGGTTTGGGGTCTGCTGCCATCATCAATGCTTAAGGCCTTTATCATAGGAATGCTAACATTTACAAGCTGCGATAATACATGAATGTGGCTATAAGCCTGTGATCTAAAAGTAGAACTCTTTATAATGGAGAAAGAAGATGAAAAATCTGAAAATGACTCCTGGTGATATTGTTTACATTCAGATGAAGCAGTATTTACTACAGTACATATATTGGCTAAGTAATACTCTCTTGTTTTTTAATTCTAAGAATGTCAGATTAACTTGTCTAACACGGATTGGTGATAATTATCTAAGAAACAAATTATTTTTTTCAATCATTCAAGATGTACAGTGTATAAACTATAAAGACTGTACAACTTTCATGAATTATCACCAAATCAGAACTAATCGGTATGCCTTGATTTTTTTCCACCCAATTTCAAAAGCTTTTCTCTAAGTATCTTCCTAGTGAGATCAAGCTACCATATTTGACACTGACAACTATAAACTCAGTTTTTTTTTAAAACATACACTTTTTACAAAACGATCAGCAATTTTCACAGGTAAAATGCTAGCATGTATTGCAAAAAATTTGTAGTGTCAGTGGCGATGCGAATAATTTTACAGCATGAAACAAATCTTTACTCATGAATTCTGCTAACATTTTGTACATACATGTATGAAAGTTTGTGATTTTAAACAATGTTGCCTATAAAGTTGGAATAATTTTTGATGAAGTGACTGTATAAAGAATATGATTTCTTCTTGATAAATCAACAGTGTACATGCTTAAAGGTTGGGTGACATCCAAATAAAAGTTGATTCCTGTTGATGTGCGGGGTTGCACAAAACTCATATTTTGTTATTCAAACATCTAAATATATTTCATTGATTTTTAAATATTTTTTAAAAATAATGTTCTCAGACCTGCTAAGCTCCACCCTAAAAAAATGTGTCAGATCTCATTCATCTTGTGAAGCACGCTTTATGCAAGCATGGAAACTAGGAAGTGTAATTGGGTTAAAATTTGGGATTAGTGTCAAGTATAATCTGATTGCTCTTTGAAACCCCATTCAATTAAGCCCTTAATCCAACTCTAATCCCTTTCCTGGGTCAATAAGGCTTGTATCTGACATCTTAATTGAGTTGGCAAACTGGTTCAAAACTTCAACAGTGAGTTCAAAATCAGAGATGAGTGTTGCCTGTATTTTGGAGAAGTGTAACTTTTATTGACTTGTATATGATGTACCAAGACAGAAATAACATAATTCAATGAAATACATGTATGATCAGTACATACAGTACAAGAGAACTATGAGATTACCCCCCCCCCCCCCAAAAAAAAAAAAAGCAAAAAAAAAAAAAGCAGCAGCATAGAAATCATTTCAAATGATAAATCCTTCAATGTGGGGATAAAATAGATTTGATTTCAAACTTCAATTTCCTGAAATAAAATGGCAATTTGCCTTTCTTTTCATCACCAATTACAATAATTTTCTCACGCCATTACAGGGGCTACCAGTACATTAATCATGCAAAGCAAAAAAAGAATGGCCTTATTGCAAACGTAATTTCGGGGTATTGGGTTTCAAAACATGGCAAACCACATATATTTGAAGCTTGGATTTCAAAAGGAGGGAAAGTTTGCTTGTTTGATTTTTACTGCAAAAATTAAATAAGCTTCTTCTTGGGCAATCCTTTCTGTCAACATGATATTAAACTGAATCTGATGGAGGGTTTTAAGAGGTCATTCAGTTCCAAACTTAATGTACAAAATGTACATGTACATTTGTCATATGTCGATTATTTCTGGTTTGTAATTAAAATGCGTGATCACTCATACTGTACACGTACATGTGGTGTATATCAAACACACATCAAATTATGGAGATCATTTAGTGTTCACAAATAATTTTAATTTCATGCATCACAGACCCCACCTGCTCAGCTCTGAACTCACATCACACCAATCTAAACATGTTAATTTATTCATTGCTTACCAGTACCACACTATGTAGACAATGCCAGTGTTATACAGCGTGTCCACACACAAAACAATTTATCCCGAAACTCTATAACAAAACGTAGTATAAAGAACCATCGTATAAATTTGTGGGTGTCCACACACAAGAAACGTTGTATAAAGAATCATCATATAAATTCCAGGATGTCCACACATAGAAGAAAGTAATCCTGAAACTAGATAGTGAAATGTTGTATAGGTGCGCAGTTTGCTACTGCGATCATGAATGGAAGCGGAAATGAGAGATCAGGTCTCCTTTTGCTCGAGGTCACGTTAAGCCCCGCCCAGTTATACTGTTCTAGTTCGACTAATTACACTAGTTACATTACGTCCACACACAACACATTCCGTGATTAGGCATGATTAGGCGTGATTATTCGTGATTATTTATACGTCGTATAACGAAACGCATGTTTGGGCATCGTTTAGTTATACAACATTTCGTTATACGACGTATAGTTAATAAGCGCCCACACACACAATTTCATCTTATAACTATCCCGAAACGGTATAACTAATCATGCCTAATCAGTAATCACAGAAAAATGTGTGTGTGGCCACGGGGATAAACTGTAGGCTAGGAAATTGAGCAATTGAATGGGCATGATTTAAAAGTCTTATCTTTCTTACCCTTTTTGTTTGAATTTTTTTTTCTTTTGGGGGGTGCTGGCTTACGTTCAGGGGTCTGAGAAGGGTCTTGGAAAATTGCATTTTACGCCTTTCCATGATATCTACCCGTACCGGTATATGATTTTTCAGCAAATTCTTAAGTGTTTTTCAACAGGAAATCTTTCCATCAATATACATGCACATTGCATAATTTGTCCATAATGATCAGTTGTAGTGAATTTTCTTCTGGTGTTGTAATCACTATACATGTACATGTACATATGGCTGAAATTGGCTGAATCATTAATGGCACTGTGACAAAATAAACGCAGGACTACTTTTCCATTTGTTTCAACCACAAAATGATTAAAATGATTTAGGAGCGTCTTCTCTTTTTAGATGACCGATAATAATTTACTTTATACAACCCCTACGTGGATCCTTGTTATTTGATTGGAGGATTGTTGGTCACATGATATTCAATGAGGTTCTAACTTCTATTGCACGGGCGTGCATTTTTGGTTATACTCGCCGAGCATTTTTGGTTATATGCAGACTGCATACCTCTCTGTCGTGCGTGTATCCCTGCGTGTATCTGATGCGAAGGCAACTGAATGTAATCGAAAACGCTTGACTCCAACTTTAATTTATCTTTGATATAAGGAGTAAAGCATAACTTGTTGATTAACCTTTTATCAGATCTTCTTCGATGTTGTATAAACAAATAATGAATGTTTGTCATTCATTGAACTCATAACCATTCATTATTTGTATAATATCCATAATATATTTTGAGTAGTGTCCCAAGGAATAATGCACTTACATGTAATAGGAGGACAAAGAGAAAGTTACTATTAAGCTGGGCAACATTGTACTGCAGTCCATTCACACAACATTTGTTCAAACCTGCTACACGTACAACTTAAAAATAAAGGTGAGTTCTGGTAAAAAAACGAAAATGAATTCTCACATAATCAAACGAAAATTACACTAAATTTTCAAGATTACAAATAATGTCATTCGCCGAACAATTTTGGTAGAAAATGTATACTGGCCATTCTCATTTACAGTACGTCATAATATTAAAGGTACAAACTTGAAATTTATTCTGAATGTTCGTTGATATTTCTATTTTATGCATGTCCAATTTCATGTGTGCGTCAGTTAGTGCATCACCTGTTTAAAGCATGACATGTCAAAATCTCCTTAGTGTGACGTAATATTACGTATTGACATTGCCATTGAACTTAAGTTGCGCTTAAGTTAAGTATGCCCTCTCTCACTTTAATTCGAAGTCACTCAAGTGGATCGGCCAATGGGAGCACGTAAACTCACTGTAACCTACAGTGCTCAATGCGTAAAATTCTTTGGGTGCTATAGGCCCTATGATACTTTCAAATGATATGATAAACAATTAAATGAATCAATGTTGATTAAAAATAGACCCTAAGTAACGAATGGTAGGCCTCCTGACAAGTTTCTTTTGTGAAAATTTCATTGGTTTTGCAGATAGACCTAGAATCTATTTTAGTCTAGTTTTACCGATTGGGCCAACCATATCAAGCTATGCCTATGGTCCGTCATTTTCTAATTTCATGATGTTTTTTTTAAATGACGAGAGACCTCAACACCAGAATAATCTAGATTTAGGCCTAGACTCTAGATCTAGATCTGCAACGCATATTGTTGCTGTCGCATTAAGGAAGATGACATCATCCATGGCATTGCCATTGTCATTGAACTTGTTGAACAGTTTAAAATACAGCTGCAAGAATATCAACTCAGAGCTCAATTTCGACGGAAAAAATCCGGAAAAAAGGCCCTACTGTGTGGTCAGTTTTTGTCTCTAAAGAGAGGAGCCGACCCTACCCAAATTAGAAGCTAACGAACGAAAGAGACAGACATTTTCGGTCCAACGGTTACAATAAGCGAGCAGCCTAGGTCGAGCACAGCACAGCCCGTCTTAGACCGAAAGCTTCA